TCTTTATCTTTCTCCTTGTCTTTGTCTTTCTCTTTCTCTTTCTCCTTCTCTCTCTCTTTTTCTTTTCCTTTCTCCTTTTCTTTTTCCTTCTCTTGCTCTCTTCCATCTTTTTCCTTCTCTCTTTCTCGATCCTTCTCTTTCTCTTCCTTCAAGTCTTTCGAAACATTTTCTTTCTCTCGTTCTCTATCTTTTCTTTTGTCTCTCTTACGTTCTCTTTGCTTGCCATTCACAAGAGGTGCAGCTTCTAAGGTTTGAACTCTTATCTTAAAAAAACATGAACATGACTTTCGTTTGCCCTAATCACGCACCTTCTTCGGAGGAGGGCTTGGAGGAACTTCGCCGTCTTCAGTTTCTTTTTCAGATTTTTCTTCGCGTTTTACTTCGACGTGTGCTTCTTCCGCCACTGCTCCATCAGCGGTCTCTACCTTTTCTATCTTTGCACTCTTTTTTTTGACATCATTGGCAGGCGCCTGTTTAAAAACATATAACCAGTTGAGGAATGAGAACTTTACCGTCGACTGCCTTTTCCGAGCGATCTCTTGGCTGGGTTTAGCTGCTTTTATTTTCTGAAATAGAGTATCTCAACCATTTTCTCTATTAGACGGTACCGCTGGATCCATTGGAGAGAAGTGTTCGCGATCATACATCTTGACCGATCTTCGCTTCAAGCAACTGACATAACTAGCAGCTTTCAGAGAAAGGTCGTCTCGTGTTCCTTTCTCCCAATCACGAACTCGTAGAGCAGCTTCTTCAATTTTGGTAGAATGTTCTCGTATAATAGGGAAACATGGAGTCATCTGAAGATACTCGGTTAAACAATAGAATACAACATGAATATGACCTTGCTCATGAGAATCAAAGTATTTCGAAGAGGAATATAATCATTTTTCTCCTTCGCTAACACGTTATTAACAACTTGTGACAGTCGAGACTGGAAAACAATACTTCTAATATGATTCAAGTTGTTCCCGTTACCTGCCACTTGAAACACAATTTTCTGAACCCATCATACTGAATGGATCCGTCTTGTTGAGGATCACCAGACACCCTTGTGGTGAAGCCGGGGAACCCAGCGCATTCCTTGAATTTCAAAATTTCAAAATATGACTTTCAAAATACTTACTTTATCAAACACTGCCTTATCAGCATGCCATGTTAGTGTTTTACTCAAAATCATTTCTAAGAACCTTCCGAAGGAGGCTGTCTCATTCTCGGTTAGTCCACTGATCAATGGGAGTATATCGTTGAAAGTCTGAGTTCGGTTGTAAATCATGAGAGAGAGAGAGAGAGCCATTCAAACCTTGTCTATGAAAACTAAAGTTTGGAAGAAGGTAGTTCGCTGTTGATGGAAAAGAATAACAATCTTGGCGCAGAAAACCTAGAAATTTGAATAGAAGAAGGAGTATATCAATGAGCTTACTGCATCCAGCTCAGAGAAAAGCGCACGTGGTATGATACATCTCTGGAGGAATCCAATAGTCTGCTGAGCTCCTGAAACAACAAGGATTGTACCTTCCAACTGTTCCAAACAAACTTCCAGATCCAAACAAGTTTTCTCTTTCTTGAGTCAACCACATTCGAACCCTTTCCACATGCTCGCTTTGCTTTCTCTGTTCTTCCTTCAACTTATTCTCAGTTGTTTTCAGACGGTCTTCTTCTTTCTGTCTTCTTGACTTGCCCTTCAAACAGTTAGAACTAGGATGTAATATGGACCATAAACTAACCATATTCTCATCGATGGCTGTTATCGACTTCCTTATGCTTTCGACAGCCTTGTCATAAGCTTGTGTTGGAACATCAATATCATACAAAGATAGAAGCCAGAAAACCACAAAGAGTCTGAAACTTAACATGAGCCGACTATGATTGGAACATCCTCACTTCATGGGAATATCATTGCAGACATATTCCGAAATGCAAGGCTTTATATCAACTATCAGTTGATCTACTTCTGTATCCACAGCAGATTTAAAGAACAAGAACTGAAGAAGAGATGAGGTCAAACGTGATTGTGATATGAGAAAGCAAACCTTCTGTTGAATATCTAGCTTTTGCTTGCCTTCGGCTTCCAACAGTTTCCTCTCTTTCTTCGTTTCATCATATGACTGAATGATTTTCTGCATGTATATAGATCTCGATAAGAATGCGGCAGACTCGAGTGGAACGTTGTACTGATTCATTAAGTCATGGATCAGAGGCATGCGTTTGCTGTACTCGTCAAACTTGAGATTATTTTGGATGAACGTTCCAAATTGCATGAAGGTATCACGAGACTGTAAATGGAAGGTATGACTTCGAACATTCATACTTTGAATACAGCCAGTGAGTTTAAAAATAAACTGTATTCTTAACTAACTGAACGTACTTGATCAACCATTTCACCAATCAGCTTCAATGGCAATTCAGAACTGTCATTATGAATGATGCATTCACGTTGCTGAGCGATCTGAGATAAAATGTGAACTCATAAAAACTTTTCGAAGAAACTTACAAGAATACATACACCAACTGCGAGATCGCCTTCTAGCAAAGCATCTTTCAAACGACCAGAAGCTCGTTTGTTTCGAACACTTGAGAAGCCACCAGCCTGATAGGAAAATCATAGAGTATTATCAGATAATACGCACCTCCAGCCTTAGAACTTCACCACCCTGTAGAGCATCCAAGTGATCCTGCGTAGCACAAACAATACTTTCTACTGAAGACATGTTTTGAATAATTTCTCTCAGAATGATTAAATCGAAGCTGAAGGAGATCTTGTAAGACAGCCATTCGAAGATGAATCAACCTCTTTTCATTCTTTAATTGATTTGCGACATAGTTCAGAATTCCTGCGAGATCAACAGTGTACTTTTTACAAACAGCTCCTATAAGTGTGGCTAAAGCTTGAAGCCAAGAGCTGATGTTTCCATCCGAAGACTTTAGCTGCTGCTTATCAGGATTGGCTAACTGGTCAATTATGCAATCTAAAATTCTGATTAACATAGTTGGAGATTGTGGACTAACAAGCTAGGATATCAAATTCCAAATTAGTTAAGAACTTGATACTCTCTACAACAGGTTGAATTAGATTATCGAAAGATTGAATCTGAAGCACGACTAGCATTGTCAAGATGATATAAAAATGTATACCTGACTGAGCAAGTAATCAAATACAGTAATCGGTTGGATATGACATAATTTTCCTAACTGTCGCCCTATCACCTTTACAGTATCCTTAGACAAACGTCTGCAAACCGGATAAAAATCTGTTCTTATCGTAAACTAACTTCAACACATAACGAGTTCGTCCATAGATTTTACCACGGGAGATACTAAGCTCGGAATGACGGAAAGAGTGAACTGTCTTCCATCTGAGGGGAAATTTGTAAAACATGTAAATCTAAAAGCGACATACCTTCCATACAAACGGAAACGCCATTGATATGGGAACAATTGAAGCAATAACCACATTTCTTCAGAGATCGCGGCGTTAGGGGCTGAGGGATTCAGAGAGAGACCAGGTAGGAGCACTTCATCAACAATGTCAAAGAAAGTTGGAAGCACTGAAGGAACAGTTGAAGGAGCGTTTTTGAAGATTGTCAACTTGTGTCTGAGTCCGGAATATTTTCTTTTTCTTGGAAGAAATTCGTGATAAGTCTCAATAACTTGATCATTGTAATAGTCGAGTATGCCAAACGAGGACCCAAGTACCATAGAACTTCAGAGAAACCTGCCAGCTCAGCCCATGAAGTAACCTGAACGGAACTTAATAGAAGCAGCCAGTTGAATCTACCTTTGAAAGCCCAGTCAGGTCAGAACATTTGTTGTGATCTTTTCTCAATCCAGGAAGACCCTTCGAACATTTTTCGCGATAGAAGTCTGTTATCACATGATCAACCATTTGAGACAGCGCCTTACAAACACGACGACTGTAAAGAAATTTCTGAGAAACTGAACTATCTCAATAAGATACCTGGCTTGCACAGCATAGTACTCAGGTAACCTATCAATGATTTGTTTAGCGAGGGTCCATTCTCCATGCTCCAGCAAAGCACAAATTAGTCCCAGTTTCTGATTAGTACCGAGAACATGCTCCTGCGAATTTAAACTTTAAAATTCTTTTCGAACGTTCAATGTACTTCAGAATGCTCTCCTATCAAACTATCATCTTCTTTATCTTGACAAGCAACAACAGTGGCAAAACCAATACCGACGATGTTCTGATCATTTCCATTATGGGTCTCTAGTTGCCCACTTCGAGATGACTCAGAGGTCAAAGAAGTAGTCATAATGGTTTCAGCCTGTAAGCACCCACGTTTAGTCTTCTTAGTTTACCTGTTACCTTTTTGGTTCTTGCACTAGCATTAGCTGCTCTGGCTTTATGAGTTTCTTTTATGCCATCAGCATTCGGCTGCATCTACAAATGAAGTGAATCAAATCACGACAACTCAAGAGTAACTTACAAAAGACATTACTTTGGTGAGATCTATCAAGCCAACTTGTATCATGGCAGCAGTAACTGAATACAATGAAAAGGGAGTCATCTTTCCCACGCCCTATAAATCGCTGAGCTGATGTTACATTGTGAAAAACCAACTTGATAGAAGGTGTACTTGAATCCAAGCAGTGTACACAAGTAATCTCCATTAGCTTTGATATCTTTCAACAAAGTGATAAATGCATTCTTCTGATGAAGATTATGCTCGAAACATTCCATCACAATATCTGTCACACGGTTAGGATCGAGATTAAATTGTCCTTAAGAGTCAATCAGTTATCAAATATACAAGATCAACCCTCACCTATTAGACACAAAAGACGAGTTTGTAAATCTTTGGAAGAAGTGGAGCCAGCCTCCAGAAGTTCTGTTATTAGTTTAGCATATCCTTCACTCTCTTCTCGTAGTAAGTTGAATTTAGATTGTTTGAAACTGTTGGGAACATTTTGATAATCACTCTATCTCGATAGACTCACTATAATCTGGTTTTTAATCTAACGAGTTGTTGTTTGTTAGCCATAGTTGCAGCTTCTAAACAGTCTAGCTCCATGGCTAAGACATCTCGAGGAATGAGCTGAAGATGATGAGCATGTTGCGAATTAGGTGTTCAACATACCTTGTCTGAGATCAATTGGGAAAATTCTATCAACTTTTGCTTATTTTCAGCATTCTTATCAGTTTCTGCTTGAACTTCGATAGCCACAAGTACATCTATCAAGACGGAAGATAATAAATCCGTAGAAACCTGAGAAAACACAATTTCCGGAAGAGAGAGAGGTCACCTCACCTGTAGACTTTTAATGGATTCATAAACACTATTACAGTCATCAACAAAAATATTCTTACATAACGTGAATAACTTCTCTGTTAAATCGTCCTGATCCATGATTACCTAAAAAGGGAATGAAAGGAATTGTTGATTGTAAACATGAGAAGATACTTTTCGGTTGGTAACCTTGTAACACATACAGACAGAAACTAATCTTATATTATTTCAAAAATAAATAAATCACAAATTCCATTCAAATAACAATCAATACTTTCCACCGAATTGGTCATGGAGCTTCGTTCTACCATCTCCACTCTGATCAGTGGGAGGCAACCATGTGGCATATAGTTCATCCTTTACATCACATCTGAAGCAACAACTTCTTTACCACATCATAACAAACTTGACGTACCCGACACCGTATTCTTGATTCTTTTGCCTATTAGGCCTGTTTCGTATTTTTCTTTTCTTCGACGTTGTTTCATCTTCATTCATGTCATCATCAGCTCTTCTTTTATTCTCAGAACCCGCAGAGTTATCATCCTCAACAGAGATGGGAACTGATGCTATGTTTTCTGATGTGCTGTCGTGACTTTCACACGGCTCAGCAGATGTCTCAGTTATAGCTTTTGAAATAGACTCCGCAGCATTATCTTCAAAACAAAATTAAACAGCACTTTAAGAAATACATACCACTCGACAACTTAGAGCTTGGTTCTACAACATCCTTGGTTGATTCATTCACCTTCACTTCTGAAACAGAAAAGGTCAGGTAATATTCACATTATTTTCTCCCTCACCTTTAGAAGTTGATGCTTCAGTGGGTAGTAGTACTGTAGAGTTAGACTTCGAACCGCCTTCTTCTGGCTCTTCCACTTCAGGCTTGAAGACATCGCTCTTCTTGTTTTTAATGGTGGCTTTGACGACTGGAGTTTCAGCCACGGCAGGAGCATCTTTTTTGACTCTTCCGACCATCATCATTTTCCTCCAGAAAGCTTGTTTATTTGAATCTTCAAGGAAAGCATAGGATATGGTTTCAAACATGGACAAACCTACTACAGCACCACTCGCCGTTTTCAAAGCAGGCAGTTCCACAGGCTTGGCGATTCTTACTAACTTCTCAAGTGTTTGGCATTCTTGTGTTAGTTTTACGAGTTTCTGTCTAAGAATCGATTTTTGAGTTTTTGTCTGAAAAATCAGTATTAGAAAGAAAAGATTATTTAAACTCACATTCAAATCATCCTTGATTCCTCCTGCTGCTGATAACTGCCGACAGTAATCGTCAAGACTGTCCGAGCTCTCAAGACCTAGAAGAAAAACAAGCTTTTGAAATTAAATTCGAAGCAGATATACCTTTGTTAGAAATTGTATGACCGAGACTATCCAACTGCTTTTGAACATCCTCCTTTGCAGCTCGAGCATCTTCCAAGTTCTTACTTAAGCTCTCAAAAGTGTCTTTCTTTGGAGGAGCTGCTATTCCCGCATCTCTCTATACACTTTGTATTTCACGATGTGATTCAACTTATTCATACCTCAGCCCACATTTTTCTCTTTTCTCTTTGCTGCTCTAGCTGACCTGTTCTGTCCAAGTAAAGATCATCATCGTCATCATAATAATCGTTATCAGCTAAAGTTTTCTTCTTCATACGTGCTTTGGCATTAGTTCCTCTATGCAACATTCAAGATATATTGGTCAGAGAAGCCGTCAAACCTTAACACTCCATGTTTATCCAAGATTTTACAAGCCTCCAAAGCGCATTGCTCAGCCGCGTCTTTCTTATTCGTGTTCGTAGTTATCTGTGCAACACACGCTCTATCTACCCCCGCGATTTCAATAGGCAATCTAGAACATCCACTTTCAACGGAAAAGGAAAGAATCTTACTCGATAGAACATGTCCATTTATGAGTGTGGCCTGCACCACTTTCACTGTACTCGAACTTCATTTCAAAACCCTCACGGTCGAAAAACTTGGACAGAGCCCGCTTAGGATCATTCACGTAATACGCTTCTCCGTCTTCTTCCAAGTGTCCATCAAGCACGTACTACAAAACTATCATTCAAACAGATATTAAAGCTGAAAAATACCGCTGATGCATCATCTTCACCGTAATCCATACCCCAATTGATTCCTTCATCGCGATCATCATTTTTCTGATCTTCTTCAAACTCTTTTCTAGCAGCTGTGGCCAGTTTGGCTTCTAGTGCCTATGAGAAAATCTGATTTTCTTTTGAAATTGAAAAAAAAAACCTTTCTCTTCATTTTCTCTCGCATTTCTGTAGGGGAGTACTCCCATTCAGCCTCCTGATCCTCGCACGGTCCAATTAAATTCAGAAGACGTGAGCTGCCTGGATAATTGAAAGAAACATAATATAGCGAATCAAAGTTCGAGATGTACCTCCAAACTGAAAGACAAATCCAACAAAGCATCGCATGAACTGTTTCTCCGGCACTCTCCTCTTGTTGGTTTTTGTACCATGTGTACTACCCTATACTCACATATATACATAAATGAAAACTGATTGCTTAACTGACCAAGTCATAGACATGCCATCCTTTGCCTGACTTATCCATTATGTCTTCTCCATATTGCAAGATACAATGGTAACGAGATATTGAGGGATGATCTGATAATGATTATCAGTTTCTACGATAATCAAATGAAACTGTACCTAGTACTACATCACAACAAGGTAACCTTCCAATCGTAATGAAAGTTTGATTCTGTCTTATATCCAAGTTTATACAATCAACGATACTTCCATTCTTTAAAACCTATAATAGAGCACACTCGTATACTTCACATTTTCGAAAATGCAGACGTACCTCAAGTCTGTAGCCTGACGATTCCGGAGGCTCACAGGCCCATGGAGGTGGTGTATAACTCAATGGAGGAACTGGTACTGCTTTTGCTTTCGCTTCTTCATTTTGATTTGACACCTGTGAAATAGAAAAGGAAGTTGATCAGACCTTGTACGAAAATACCTTGGGAGGCGAAGATGAAGGGTCTGCTGATACTGAACAAGACTGTAAGCCTCCAGGAGGCAATGCTGGAGTTTTGAATGATCCCTCAGACATTTTATATTCAAATTCAAGGATGAAGACAGTTTCCAATTATATTATTATCGAAATTTATAACTTTCTCAGTATGCGAAATTCAAATTTAGAGGTGCTTTTGAACTTCTTGTATGGTGTTATTCATCATACGCACAATTGCGTATTTCAGAAAATTATTCAATTTAGCTACTGTTTGTTATACCCACTTATATTAATAAACTATGATAAGCTTCCTGAATGAATATTTGCATCGGAAAATGGATGTCATATATGGAATGAACATGTGATCGTGAGATGAACAGTGAATTTCTCTGAATATTTCTCCTCCCTAAGAGATCTGTTATACTTTACTTTTACGATCCACACAATATGAGAATGTTTTCCTTTTCGGAAAAACGAGTAAGGTACCATCTGATAAATAAAGTTTATTTAGCAAACGTCACGAAATTGCTTCATAACACTTTCAAGTTTTATCACTTCTCACTCTTCCTAGCAGTATCACCTTGGGTTGGCTTAAAGCATTTCATGCGTTAGCTAACTCCTTTCAATTTCCTTCCATCCATTCATTTTCTCACTTTCTCTAATTCATGTAACCGGATGGTAGTTGAACCTTCACTAGGCAAGTTCTTCAGATAATAACACACCTGTGTTCGCATTGATTGCGACATCGAATTGGGCAATCTTGTTTTTTTTTAACCTCCTGATCGGAAAACGATACATTATATGTGTCTAATAGTGTAATTCGCATAATTTTGACCTATTTCATGTTTTGCCTCATCTCTATCCAATCCCTCATCGTTTGACATTATGAATGGTGAGAGCTTATATACGTTCATGAGTGTTTAACCTTCGTTTTGCCATTGGTCTTCTTTGAAAATGGAAAGTGCGGGTTTCCTCGACGTAATGTAGTGCTGCTACAATGACATACATGTCTAGTTTTCAAAATCGAAGGTTTCCAGACTTCGTTCCAATAGTTTGTTGTGTTGACTGTTATGTACAAAATTTTCTTGCCCTTAAGTTGTTGACGTGTGTTCACGTGAGAATTCCACTATGTTTTTATCTCACCGCGTAACTTGCTTATGCGTGATTCTCATTTTGCGATGTGTTGCGTTAGGGAGCGGTTGAGTTAGCGTAAAGTCAGCGTTAAGTTAGCGTTGACTTAGCGTTGACTTAGCGTTGACTTAGCGTTGAGTTAGAGTAGCTTGGCATCGGTTATGATGAGTTAGTCGTTCGGTTTGAAGCTACACCTCAGCTGTTTCGCAATTTTATCTTTCTTCCTTTCAGTAGACAGCATGAACTATTTTTAGTAATTATTTTTCGTCTTTGCAATGATGGCCTTCATGGATAGCTTGAATAGCCCAAGGGTGCTTTTCTGTTTGCTTTTCCTGAAAGGATAGTTGTCATAAAAATTCTCATTTTCTATCTTTCTGATTAGACGTCATGAGAACCATTTATTTTGTTCCAATCTATGAACCTTTCGTTATTTCTTTGATAGTCGTAACATGTTAAAGGTATTCCTTCAAGCTTTATATCATAATCTGATTTAATTAATTCTAATGCCCTGTAGTAAGCCTCTTGAGAAACGCGATTAACGCTATCTTATCTATGTGCTTAATTGCATTACTTATCTTCTTTAAGTTATAAGTTGTTGTGTTTGCTTCTGTAGAAGAATATCCTTCGAACTTCTTTTACAGGAGCAAACACATGGCTACGGAAAATCTGATATTTATCTTTTGGTCTATTTTTATTGTTATCAGCTGTATATCGGCTAATGATAAGAAGGCCTCTTGCATAATATTTCTCTAGCGTTTTGTTACATTTACGAAAGATTTAATTCGTTTCAATTTCATATTTGCAGTTTATGGATTCTGAGAATACAAAACTCATTGATGACTGTGCGTTACCTCCTCGTTTACCGGCTCCTCCAAGTGGTAGGCAGGGAAGCGCTCCCCCATGTCTTGTTTCACAAGTGAAGCCGTCGCCCCCACAACTCCATTTAGTTCTTATTGATATCAGGTAATAGCATAAGCACGAATTAACTTGTCAGTTCGCGGGTTCGGCTCGTCTGAAAAAATATACATGACGCTCATGCTGACGTAAGGTTCTAAAATGTGTTTACAGAGGGATGACGTGCCATGCCTGCGTTAATAATATCCAAGATAACATATCTCAGAAGCCTGGCATTTCAGAAATCATAGTTTCGCTCGAAGATTGCGAAGGTTAGAGGTTCAAGCATCAATCCTATCATACCATATTCTAGGTCGAGTCATCTTCGATGCTTCAATATTAAAAGCTGAAGAAGTAGCCGAAATGATCGATGATATGGGATTTGATGCCAAGTTGAAATCGTCAGACATATGTGAGTTTAGAATGTCAGAAGGATAACTTGAAGAAAGACTGTTTGTAGCCGAAAGAATTGAACATCCAATTAAGTATAACTCATTTTCATTTTTTGAGAGTTGAATAACAAAGAGAAAACTATTCATTCATATCTTGTCAAAGTAATAAAACCACAGCTGAAGTGTTAGGAACTTATTAGGGTCAATGTCATTTACAGACTGTGAGTATTCAGTAAATAATCCTGTCATTTTCAGATTCTATCCAAAATCAGTCTGACGGTATGCAAGGGAAGAATGAAGCGATGATATCCATTAAAGGAATGACTTGTCATGCATGCGTTAATAACATTGAGGATAACATGGAAAAGAAGCCAGGTATCAAATCTATGAGCGTTAGCTTAGAGCAGGAAATCGGTATGATACTCTCTTGTCTTTTCAAAATAGATTTTTCTTATCTAGGTATTGCTATATTTGATCCTACCGTTACTACTGGACATCAAATAGCAGAAATGGTCGATGATATGGGATTTGATGCCCAGTTGCTCAATGAACGAAGTAGTTTTTTGTAGTGTGTCGACCACAATTCCTTTTATGCAGAATGTTCGGAACAGCCTACTCCTCTACCAGTGTTGAACATCGATAAGAAACCACCTGAAAAGAAAATAAATCTGCCAATGGATATCGTTGAACTCAAGATCAATGACAAAACCTATGTAGATGGCGTAAGTTATGCATCTCCCAAGATATGTAAACTGTTTTCACTTCAGACCTGCGACTCATTAGAGAAATGCACTTTAGCTGTAGAGGGAATGACATGTGCTTCATGTGTTCAATATATTGAAAGAAATATAAGTAAAATGAAAGGTTTGTGATGTCTCAAACTTCTTTGAATATTTTCTCGATTAAGGTGTCAGTTCTATTGTTGTTGCCTTGATTGCTGGAAAAGCTGAAGTCAATTTCGATTCATCCGTGTTAGCATGTGAAGACATCATGGAAGAGATTGGTTCGTTAGGTTACCGAGCGACTCTTCTGGACAGTGCTTTCTCGCACTATAATAAAATTCGTTTAACGGTATGTTCTTTCCAAGTCTAATCAACTGAACTTCTTGCTTGCAGCTTGGCAGAGTAGAGCATGAATCAGATATTTCACGATTAGAATCTCATGTTCAGTCTAAAACTGGAGTAGAGAGTTGCCACGCTTCGTTGGCTACGTCAATGGCTACGGTTGAGTTTTCTCCTAGCTTGATAGGTCCTCGTGATATAATCTCCGTCATAGAGGTATGACAGTCATTCGAAAAAGAAGGAAATCCGATTTTTTCAGCAATTGGGATATACTGCCGAGTTGGCGAGTAAGAATGACCAGCTTAAAAACTTAGACCATTCTAATGAAGTTCGAAAGTAACCATTGCTCTCGTTTCGCTTCTGATCCTCTTGTTTCAGATGGAAGAAGACTTTCTTGTTCAGTTTAATTTTTGGTGTGCCGGTCATGTTGATAATGATAGTTTTTCATTGGATCTTGCATACCGGTATGCACCCAGAGAATCAAATTCCTATCTTCACCCCTGCTTTATCTCTTGATAATCTATTATTATTCGCGTTATGTACTCCTGTACAAATCATTGGTGGTAGACATTTCTATAAGGCTGCTTGGAAAACTATCAAACACGGGAATGCTAACATGGATGTTCTCATCGTCCTAGCCACTTCTATATCCTATATATATTCATTCCTAGTACTCGTAGTAGCTTTAATCTTTCGATGGTCATCAAGTCCTATGACCTTTTTCGATGTTCCACCAATGTTGATAGTTTTCATTGCTCTAGGAAGAATGATGGAACACAAAGCTAAGGTGATCTATTGAAGAAGACTCGTAACAAAAACAAATCTTACAGGGCAAAACATCTGAAGCCCTGAGCCATTTGATGTCACTGCAAGCACGTGAAGCTACTTTAGTAACTAGAGATGAAGATGGACATATCACTTCCGAGAAAGGCATCAATATAGAACTAGTAAGTAATCAAAAATAGTCAGAGTATACTCTTCTTCGATTAGGTGCAACGCAATGATTTGATCAAAGTTCTTCCCGGAGCCAAAGTCCCCGTAGATGGTACTGTCATAGATGGAGTGAGCTCAGCTGATGAATCATTCATCACTGGGGAATCAATGCCAGTAGTTAAGAAACCAGGTACGAGAAACAGATTGATTTAAGTATGAAAGATCTTCTCTTAGGTTCTGCTGTGATTGGAGGTTCGGTGAATCAAAAAGGAGTTTTAATAATCAAAGCAACCCATGTCGGCCAAGATTCAACGTTATCGCAAATCGTTCGGTTGGTTGAGGAAGCGCAAACTAATAAGGTTTCGTGACATACTCTCTCACATATTGGAAAGTGTCTTACAGGCGCCAATTCAAGAGCTCGCTGACAAGATTGCCGGAATATTCGTACCTTTTGTAATTCTGGTATCAGTTCTCGCGTTTTTGGGTTGGGTAGTGATTGGATACACTTCTGGTGATGGTAATGAGGTAGCAGAGCTGTATGACATGTGTTGTACTAACCTGGACTGTTCAGACTGGAATCACGAAATTCGAAAGTGTTATGAAAGTAGCTTTCGAAATAGCTATTACGGTCTTATCCATAGCATGTCCGTGTAGTCTCGGGCTGGCTACTCCAACAGCTGTCATGGTGGGAACGGGAGTGGGCGCAAAGAACGGCATTCTCATTAAAGGAGGAGAGCCATTGGAGAAAGTTCACAAAGTTCGTTCATTGCATTATTACTATTACAAACGGAAAATTCAGGTGAACACAGTGGTTTTCGATAAAACTGGTACAATCACGGAAGGAAGACCGAGAGTTATTTCGTTCTTATCTTTCGTTTCACCCAAAAGTTTTCCATTCCGTATACTCGCTCTAGTAATCGGATCTACTGAGTCTAAGTCGGAACATCCAATCGGAACATCAATCACCGCATTCGTGAAACAGGCATGTGTCATCTCAGTTTTTGTTTCTCAGTCTAGCGTTTTCAGGTGTTCGGAGAACCCACTTGGGCTTCTGTTTCCAGATTTCATGTGTCTGCTGGATTCGGTGTAACATGTCGAGTGGAGGGAGTAAAGAGATGTCTGGCATCGATGCCCAAAAAAGTTTTTCCAGTAAGGATTTGTTAAGTTGAATGAATAGAGAAACACCTTTACAGAGTGTATCTGATGGAAAGAAGTTCACTATCCCCAATACTGAAGCAATGTATCATCAGGTTTCCAGCCTTGAGAGTAAGATCCCTATGTATAAGTTTATTAACAGTTTTGTTGCAGAGGTGGATGTTTCCAACATTGATTCATTTGATGTAGTTATCGGGAGTGTTAAAATGATGGCGAGACATTCCATAATCGTGGAAGAGAAAATCCTTGAAACTTTAAATCATGAGCAACAGAATGGGCACATCTCTATCATGTGTGCAGTGAACAGTTGAGTTGATTTTTTCTACAAAGCTAATCCGTTTATTGAAGAGCAAGTGGTTGCGATTATATCTATTGCTGACAAAGTAAAGAATGAAGCTCCACTCGCAGTTTATGAGCTGAAAAGGATGGGCATGAACGTTGTTCTTCTCACGGGAGATAATGCTAAGACAGCAGAATGCACGGCCAAACTCGTAGGAATCGAGCATGTCTTCGCCGAAGTGTTACCCAATCAGAAGCAAGCAAAAATACAACAACTTCAAGTAAGTTGTTGCCCTTAGACGAAAAAATCTTTTATCTGTGTTTAGGCAAACAAACAGAAAGTAGCGATGGTTGGAGATGGTGTGAACGATAGTCCAGCTCTCGCATCGGCCGACGTTGGAATCGCCATAGCTGCCGGTAGTGATGTAGCAATAGAGAGCGCAGGCATTGTGCTTGTTCGGGTATGATTAGGAAGAGAGGCGTAAAGAGATGCTGATTTCGTGTTATAGAATGACCTAGTTGATGTTGTCGGAGCTATCAAACTGTCTCGGTTAACAACCAACAGAATTCGTTGGAATTTCCTGTTTGCTATATTCTATAATGCTATTGGCATACCTATCGCTGCAGGTTCATCAGTTTTTGGAGAGTATATTTGATTGATACGGATTTTAGGAATTACACGACCAGTAGGGATCGTATTACAGCCTTGGATGGCAGCTTTAGCGATGGCCCTCAGTAGTGTTTCCGTCGTGACATCATCCCTAATGCTTAACACTTTCAAGTAAGTCTTTTATCTCTTTCATTCGTCTACAGCTGCTCTAAGAAAACCGACTATTGGTTCCTTACACACACCAACGTTTAAACAATATATGAAGCGACTAGAGGCTGGCAATGTCAACGTAAGTTTCAGTCCGGCAATGAGTGTTCATGACGTTTTGTAGGTAAAAGTTCATCGGGGGCTCGAGGATAGTTTTGGACATAGAACAAAGTCGTTTGGCTCAGTGATATCGAGTCAGTTCAGCTCATTCATGGGCTCCACTGCTAGCATCATTAGTGGTATTGGTAAAAAATCGGGAAGGTACTCGAAAATATTGTGTCCCTCTCATCATTCGCACATTTCAGAGAAAAGCTTCTGGACTCAGACGCAGAGGATACGGATCTCATTGTGTAACTTAGTTCGGGTTTTCATACGCATCAGTAAAACATTGCCATATGAATTGTGATAACAATTTTAATAAATATTTAACTTTTTATTTTCCTATAACAAGAAAAACAATGCCTTAGATCTTGTTGAAGGCAACGATATCGACAGATTGGACGAAGTCTTCGAAGTCACCAGTGATCTTCTCAATCAGGTCATCAACGGAAACCTTAAGATCTTCGATGATGCAGATGATTTGGAATTTCTTGATTCCGTATCCAATTGGGATGAGCTTTCCACCTCCCCAGACGAGTCCGTCCATGGTGATAGATCTGACATTTTCTTCCATCTTGGCAAGATCGGTCTCATCATCCCATGGCTTAACGTCAAGGATAACGGAGGACTTGGCAATTGGTCCGGGCTAGAAAAAATTCAATAATTAATCTTTCGATAACCAATTCCGGATACCTTAGCAGACTTCTTCTCATTGTAAGCCTTCAGGCGTTCGGCAACAATCTTTTGCTTCTCAGCATCATCTTCGTCATCAGATCCGAAGAGGTCAATATCGTCATCAGCCTAAAAGTGTCAAATGTTATTACAGGTTAACACCAGACAATTTATTTACCTCTTGGGCAGATCCGCCAGCGGAAGCCCAGTCTTGGCGCTCCTTCTTGTCGAAGCTGGAGATATGGTTGAACCAACGAGCAACATGAGGGAACTTCTTGGCATCAGGGGCAGAAGTGATCTTGTCGAATTCCTTGGTGTCAGCGCCGGAAGGAACGAATCTAACATTAAAATCATAATAAAAAACAGAAACGCTCAAACATACCCTTCGACGTAAGCCTGAGTGGCAAGAGATTTGTTCAAGTTAGCAAGATCAGCCATTTCTGTCGGTGAAGGAGCGGAAACTGTTCAACACTATCAAAAATTCTACGTTGTTCATTTTTGAAAGGTTACGGTATCTGCTTTCCGCATAGGACTTTTATGCTGCTTAAACGAAACACTCAGAATGCTCAAAGCTGTTGACTAGCGCATTGTGTGTGTTGACGCTTTCGCAGATCTTTGTAAAACAATTTGTGTCCGCACGGGCGGCCGGTTTCGGTTGACTGAATTGCAGTTTTCTTATCCGTTATCTATTATCAGAATTATCGTCACTTTGAAAACATTTACACTGATTGATGATTTCGTAACCATCTTGTTTTGCTATAAAAGTTTGGTTATGCTGACCCGTCATTACAGCTCCTTATAGCTCCAGTTGATGGGTTATAAGATTTTAGTGAGTGCCGGTCGCTGTTCACATTGCCCCAAATGTGTTATCAACATTTCACTTTGTTTTGCGTTGTTTTTAGCATCAATGATAAACTCCTTTTTTCCCTTTCATAGCATTATCATCTGCCCGTTTGCGGTGTCTCGTGTTTGGATTACTTTTCTAGTCTTCTTTGCTCTTAGCCTTCATTGATTAATATGAATATATCTTTACTTTTCAGATATGTACGCTCTTCGGCTCAGCCGTTTCGCTGGGGCGGCTCGTTATAGAGCTCTCCATACCACCTATGCTCTCCAGGTAAGATTCATGGATCACTCATAAATGAAAATGCATTCTCATTCAGGCCAATGTTCCAATGTCGAAGTTCGATAAAAACCCACTTCCATATGAGCAGCTTCATAACAACCTCAAAGTTGTTCGAGACCGGTGAGTGTACTTTGGTCTTCACGTGACGAAAGTGTCGCACAGTCTGCGATCCATCAAAGTTTGCACGTGATAACCGTCGTTCTCGACGTACAACACTTTATGGAGAGCGAAGTATTCTTTTTATCAACGTTTCCTTAATTTTATACATTCTTCGAATTTAGTTTGAAACGTCCTTTGACACTTTCCGAGAAAATCCTCTATGCTCACTTGGATCAGCCAACAACTCAAGAAATTGAGAGAGGAGTATCATACCTCAGACTTAGACCAGATCGTGTTGCTATGCAAGATGCCACCGCTCAGATGGCTATGCTTCAGTTTATCTCATCTGGTCTCCCAAAGGTTGGGATAAAGGGAATCTGCGTCTCTGAGTAACTCATTACAGGTCGCTGTTCCATCCACTATCCACTGTGATCACTTGATTGAAGCCCAAAAGGGAGGAGCTACCGATCTTGCCAGAGCTAAGGTTCGTTCACAAGTGTTGATACAGAAGTAGAACTTGATGTATAGGACTTGAACAAGGAAGTTTACAACTTCCTTTCCTCTGCCGGAAACAAATACGGAGTCGGATTCTGGAAGCCAGGATCTGGAATTATCCATCAAATCATTTTGGAAAATTATGCTTTCCCAGGTCTTCTCCTGATCGGAACTGATTCTCATACCCCCAACGGAGGTTTCTTATTGTAAAAGTTACTGATCTGATTTTTGTTTTTGCTAGGTGGTCTCGGAGGTCTCTGCATTGGAGTTGGAGGTGCTGACGCTGTTGATGTCATGGCCGATATTCCATGGGAGCTCAAATGCCCCAAAGTCATCGGAGTTAAGCTTACTGGAAAATTGAGTGGATGGACTTCAGCTAAGGACGTTATCCTCAAGGTAAGGATGTTAGCTTGAATCTCAGAATAGTGAATTCTTCACAGGTTGCTGATATCCTCACTGTAAAGGGAGGAACTGGAGCTATCGTTGAGTACTTCGGAGAAGGAGTCGACTCTCTTTCTGCCACCGGAATGGGAACTATTTGCAACATGGGTGCTGAAATTGGAGCCACAACTTCCGTCTTCCCATACAATGATAGCATGCGCAAATATCTTGTCGTACGTTTTTATCATGCATATTCGTCTTAAATTGCCCTTCAGGCTACTGGACGTTCTGATATCGCTGATGAGGCTAGCAAGTTCAAAGATCTTCTTACTGCTGATCAAGGATGTCACTATGACCAAATCATCGAAATCAACTTAGATACTCTTGTACCACACGTCAATGGACCTTTCACTCCTGATCTTGCTTCACCAATCGACAAACTCGGAGAAAATGCTAAGAAGAACGGCTGGCCTCTTGACATTAAGGTCTCTCTGATCGGATCTTGCACCAACTCTTCATATGAAGATATGACCCGTGCTGCTTCCATTGCCAAACAAGTATGTTTACCTTGTTCTCCTCTCGTTTAATAAATGGTTTAGGCTTTGGACAAGGGAGTCAAGGCTAAGACTTTGTTCACTATCACTCCTGGTTCTGAGCAAGTTCGTGCTACAATCGAGCGTGATGGCCTTTCCAAAATCTTTGCTGATTTCGGAGGAATGGTTCTTGCCAACGCCTGTGGACCTTGCATTGGTAAATGGGTGCATTGATAAGAAGTATTATGCTCTTATTTTAAGGTCAGTGGGATCGTCAAGATGTTAAGAAGGGAGAGAAGAACACTATTGTGACCTCCTACAACCGTAACTTCACTGGAAGAAATGATGCCAACCCTGCTACTCACGGATTCGTCGCCTCACCTGATATCGTAACTGCCATGGCTGTTTCTGGACGTCTTGACTTCAACCCTCTTACCGATAGCATCACTGCACCTGACGGTTCCACCTTCAAATTGAACCCACCAAGTGGAGATGATTTGCCACAAAGAGGATATGATGCTGGAGAAGATACTTTCCAACCACCATCTGGAACCGGACAAGTAGATGTCAGCCCAAGCTCTGACAGACTTCAACTCCTTTCTCCCTTCAACAAATGGGATGGCAAAGATCTTGAAGACTTGGTCATTCTTATCAAAGTACGTTGAGTTCTTATCTTCCCGTTTATCAATGGAATTATAGGTCAAAGGAAAATGCACTACCGATCACATTTCTGCTGCCGGACCATGGCTCAAGTACCGTGGACATTTAGACAACATCTCAAACAATCTCTTCCTCACTGCTGTGAACTCTGATAACGGAGAAATGAACAAAGTAATTTGAAAAGGCGTTAATCCATTAACGGTCCGAGTCTTTACAGGTCAAGAACCAACTTGACGGAAGCTTCGGAGCCGTCCCAGAAACTGCCCGTAAATACAAGGCTGCCTCTCAAAACTGGGTTGCCATCGGAGATGAAAATTACGGAGAAGGATCTTCTCGTGAACATGCTGCTCTCGAACCCCGTCATCTCGGCGGACGTGCCATCATCACCAAGTCTTTCGCCCGTATTCATGGTACTATTTCTCTCATGCTATAGCTCATGAATCTTCTTGTTTTAGAAACCAATCTTAAGAAGCAAGGAATGCTCCCACTTACTTTCGCCAACCCAGCTGATTATGACAAGATCGACCCTACTGACCGTGTCTCCATCGTCGGACTTAAGGACTTCGCTCCTGGAAAGCAGTTGAAGGCTGTCCTTAAGAAGACCAACGGATCTCAAGTTGATATCTGGCTCAACCATACTTTCAACGAGCAACAAATCGAATGGTTCAAAGCCGGATCAGCCTTGAACAGAATGAAGGAAGTGTTCGCCACACGTAAATAGATTCTCATCAAATAATGAATTAACTTTATGAAATTTAGTAAGAGATTGTTATTAACTCATGCGTGCACGGTGTATTTAAAGAATTTGAAACTGCATACATAGATTGTTTCTTAGAGATTGTTAGAAGACAGTGTTTATAAAACTTTTTATTTTTGTTCGCCCAAATAGCTGAATAAGGGGAAACACATCATTCATTTAGTAATTTCTCAAGAGATGTGTACGTTGCTGCTCAGGCTTATCTTCGCTTCCATATTCTTGTCTGAACTGTCTGCTTTCTCATTCAATCATTGTGACTATGGTGTACTGCAGGTAATGTCTTACGTTGTCCCCTTTATCCTAATCCACAAAGGTATAGGTGAAGCTTCTCTGCCGGGGACAGCCATATGTTGGTGCATACAGCGCTGAGTTGCTAGATGCCGACTTCAGTATATCGCTCTTCCCATAGTCATAAACCCAATCCCTGTTACAGTTATTGACGAAACAATTGATTCGACTAATGGATATCTAACTGAGACCTCGCCAGCCCTATCACTTCGTGCTTTTATTTCATTTGATAATTGTCGCGATGTAAGCATGTATCTGAGGGTAATCTCACAGTGTCCAGTAAGCATTGTTCTCTCGTATCTGGTTACAGTGACTTTCAGAAAGACTTAAGCTTTACCAATTATGGAGCAACATTCGGTTTGGAAATAGTTCGACGAATGGTAGTACCTAGACTGGTTGATCCAATTTGGCTTAAACAGATCTAATATACCACTTCCAGAACTTCGAAACGTGTTACGATGTTACTAAGGATACGTCCAAGTGGCCAATCACAGTGGAATTAGCCGAACAACCTTACTGTGGACTGACTGAGATGTAGGCTCATGTTGAATAACTGTTTTGTTTTGTATAAAATGGTGATTAAACAATGAGTAATCTCTATATGTCACACAACAGAAGAATTCGAAAATTCCTCGCGCATTACTAACTTCTCGAGATGATGATCAACCGACTACATGCGAAATGAAAATAAAAATGAAACGGTTGTATAGATGCAAGTAAACGTGCTCTACGGATAATCGAGCTTGTAAGTTCAGGTCATAACGCAACATCACATTTTCGTTTTATAATCTTCAATTTGGAATTTACAAATGGTTTGCGTAGAGCTAGTGATTTTCATATCTTGTGTACACCGAATTTCTAATAGTAAAGTAAAGCGCATAAGTAGCTATTTAAAGTTTTGGGTTTTTTCTCGCGTCTGTGTTCAATCATCTTCTACACGGTGCTTATGACTGATCCGCTACGACCATACATGGAATTGTTAGCTCCGTGGTAAATCAAGTTTGTTTCTTTCCAGCCTCGTCGTGAACCCTGCAGTTATTCATTTTTATAAATATGAAGTGAATTATCTTACATTGATGTAAAGTACGCCATTATCTGCCAAATGACTTCTAATTGAATCTAAATGAACATCGGTTGGGATGCTGGAAGAACAGACTGTGTCAGATTATCCGTATAGCTTGTAACCTGTATTTCCTGGTGAAGGATCTTCGAAGAGTTTGACCGTCTCCACATTGCTCTATCCGTTCTCCTGTGATCGAGAGGTGATTGTCATTTAGCACAACCTGATTCTCAATGTTTTGCTTGAACCTTGTTCAAATATAAACCTTAATTTCTTCAGGTCGGAACAATTTCACGTCCAACTCGATTGTAAAGCCATGTTCTGTATTAGTTATATCTCCAACACCAGCTACTGGACCAGGTGAGCCAGGTCTTGTGCTAGTCTACAAGGGAGTTACTGCTATATTCATATGACAACTAAGACTACCTTGTAGTTAGTCTGGTTTCCAGGTGACCCTAGTTCCGATCGGGGATGCTAAAAATGAGATATGCTTTCCTGAGCTTTCAAAATATTCACCTGAATATTATAAATCAATTCATCGGATGGTGGACGGTTCTGGGATGACCGATTGGAAGCGGGACGACGAATACTAAAATGTATGAAGATAGAAGGTTTGTGAATGACGTTAGTAGTTTTGACTGTTCTCAGTCCAGTGGGCATTCCTCTCCTCACTTCTCGGATAACATACGTGGATGAAATGGAGATGTTCAAGTTGTAGCGTCAAGTTTAAAAACTATTAAAGGAAAAAAAGAGATTTGCGGTCTCTATAAACCCCGTAAGCTAAGCAGCTGTGCATGTTGTTTGACAAGGTTCTCCTCAATTGTCCTCAAGTGGAATTGAGAAGAATAAGACAAGGGCAGTTGACCGTCTAGTTCTCTCCGGAAAAATTGAACAATTTCAAAGGTACGCAATGAATTTTCGAAAAACTTCCATCCCTATTAGGAAATTTGCATAATGATGGGAGAAGAGACAGACAGGGCGGACAGACAGCAATAGACCTGTGTTGTACATTGCATGTGTAGTTATGTAATATGTTGACATAGAGAATGATTATTTAAACAATCTTCTTTTATGGTTTGTTTTCACATAATTTAATGAACATTCGTCGTTTAGAAGAATTGAATGAAGTCAGAAGAGGTTTCATTCTCATAGTCATACACAAGCGAATTGAGTTATTGAACCAGCTATAGAGAACGACGAGCGCCATGGAACATATGAAAGGTAGTTCCACTTGTTATTAGAATTCGACAAAATGCATTTCAAACCATCTCTCATAGCTCCATAACCCCACCAATAGCATTATGCGGCTGGAGAAAGGTTTACGTTGGAATTTTTTTTCCCAGGAAGGATAACTTAACGGGAAAAAAAATGTTCGCAAAAAAACATTTCAAAGATGAACCGGAATTTCAATTGTCACTCTGAGAGGCGATTGTTTAACTGAATGCAATATGTTGACATCCTTTACCTTCCATCAGAAGGCATTTGGACAAAAATATGTTTATCTGCTCAGATTTCATGTTTGCAATAGTTTCTTCTCGATACATTAGAAGTGAATTCTTGGACATAACGGGTATTGATGTATCAATTAAGAGTATCTGGTTTCTTTAAAGATTTAGCAGAATGAGTGGCAATTACTCAGATGAATATATGGAAAAGGTTAGTATTCAAGGACGGCATAGTATATATGACTTAATAAGAAAACGTACGTAAAGACGGTTTCACATGACGTTGCTGGATAATGACTCAAATCAGCTGTTGAGGGAAAGACTGTCACCACTTCATCTGGTCTGTACCGACAATACATTTCAGCTGAGGGCTTTTCTGACCATACACTTCCTTCTAGATAGGAATCCACGTCATCTTCATCAAATTCACGAAATGCTGTGGAGACGTCTTTTGGAAACATTTTGGAGTCAGAAATGTGGGATGAGAGATGAACAGATAAATGAGTCGATCACGTCCGCGTATGTTGTCGAGGATCAGCTTTAAAAGTACTAATGGCGATGAAATCGCTATCGCAACGGATATAAACCGAAAATACGTTAGTCGTAATTTTTCGATTTCAGTTGCATTCGAAATAGGTAGGAGTAATAGTCTAAAGAAGGATGATAATTTTCACAAAAGAACAACATGTTAAATGAAAATTTGAGGCGGGGCCCGAATATTGATCGAATATTAAAAAAGGCGGAGTTATGTGAAGTAGAAGAGATTCAGCATTAACTGAAGAAAGAAGAAGAGAATGAAGATACAACCGCTCAGTCTGTCTGCACAAGAATGCAATAAGACAATATTCTTCACGTAAGCAATTCACGTGGATAAATTAGCATATATTTAGGAGAAGTTCTTTTGACAGCATTAGCCTGACGAGGCTAATCAGCAAATTTGGAACTAGAAATAGTTAATTAAGCATTTGAAGGAGAGAGAGAGACAGGTTGTATTTGAGATATAATTGGAGGGAACGAAAAAGGAAAGCAAGAAATATGTTTCTATTTGCACAATATAATTAATAGAAATGATATTAAGGTATGGATTGGTGTTAAAGAAGAGAGTCGAAAGATATTTTTTTTCCGAATAAGAAAGACTGAAAATCAGCTTAGTTTGCTAAGGATTAAAAGTTTAGGAATAATCAATAGAAAAAAGATAGAATAAGAAGATAACGACGCTGATGAACAAGAAAAATCAACAGAAATGTATGAAGAAGAACACACTAGGTAAGACAATTGCTGTCTTCAGGCTAGTAGTCTGTTTGGCACGGATTGGCAAATGTAACGCGAAAAACGAGAAAGTTCAATAAATTTTATAGATATGGCAGTAAAAGTCAATCAAATATTTCGATAGGTGATGGAAGATATACGAATGATAGAACACGCATGCCTCTGACATCACACCCCTCTCCACCTGTGTGTGCTTCCATATGTATGATGACGTGATTTTGTGTTGTTTTGTTTTCGTAGTAGAAAACACATTGACCTTTTCCTTCTTCTCTTCTTTTTTTTTTCCAAAACGTTTTGCGATGAAGAGATCTTCACTTTATTCAACATTGAGGTAACCTTTTGAAAGTGCGACTGTTTTAACGAAAAAACAAATAGCACATTGAGGAATCGGTTGCTCTTCAACTACACGAGACTTCTGTTTCATCGAACAGTAGCAAACATGGTTGTGTTTCGTGTTTCCAACTCTCCGCATTCATTAACATCGGATACGAGGATGGGCCTGAGGTATTGTTATCTTACTCACTCATTATTGATATATGCAAAGTTAAGTTCGTTCCCATCACATTCAGGTCTTCACATTCTTCTAATCGTCGTCGGGAGTGTACCTTTGAGTTAATGATGGCTAATGGTTACATAATTCATCCATTTAGCCATAATGACCTCAGTTACACGACGGACAGGAAGTATATAGGAGTGTGTTGCGTACCCATTTTCGGAGAAGACAACTTTTGAACTTACTAGAAGCCATTATCATCATCTTCGTTCGTATAATCTACGCGACGATAATCATCAACAACGCGTTCAGCTGGGATTTTCACATACCGAATGTGGTTATTGTGATTGGTATGGTAATCATCACGATATCTGAAAAAAAGCCCATACAATGCAATGGATGGTTTTTTCACTTACTTTTCGAGTGACAAACGGTCTGACTTTGGGAAACCTGGAGAAGAACGCTGCCATTGCTCCTCATCAAGTACTTCTTTTGTCTTAAAACATAAAATATTCAAATATTCCATCGAATACCACTTTTTCAAATCTGAATGAGAACTTGGAGTTCTGGAGTTGGGTAGCAAAAAAGCGGAATGGAAGTCAGATTGACCGAGCAGCGAATGTAACTAAATTCACTGATTGACTCAAAAGACTCAGCTGTCTTGGGGAAGTTCAATCCAAATTTGGTCATTGAGCGGAAACATAGCGTGCGAGATGTGTTTATAACGCTAGCTATCATTTGATAGAAAAAAAATGTTAAGTACTTGTTCGTTAGTATGGTAAAGATAATATTGAGATCTCGCAGCATACGGGGAAAACTGGAACAACATAATCGTCCTCCCATGTGGTCTAGTGGTTAGGATTCGTGGTTTTCACCCACGCGGCCCGGGTTCGATTCCCGGCATGGGAAGCTTGTTTTGCAGTTTACAAATCTACTTCTACTTAGACTGAGTTTTACTTCCGATAGGATTTGTTTACATTTTTCTCAAAAAAATATATTTCAAACTCACAAATCCGTTTCTATATCTCTTCTCCTGCACGTAATGTTCTCCTTTCTCGTAGAAGGCCATGACCTGCAAGCATGTGAGTGAATAAACGGTTACTGAGTGAGAACATTTTATGAATGAACGCGGTAATGAAACTGTATTTCAGCTAAAAGGCCGAAGAAAGATTAATTGACAATATTGACTGTGAAGAAATGAGAGACCGTGTTAGAGATTGTGATAGTGGAAATTGGAGGAAAGGACAGGGGGACAGCTAAGGGGATGAGTAAGAAGGAACATTTTGTGAAAATGACAGAAAATACAGTTTCTATACGAGGCAAACGGAATGGTAGACAATGGAATTTGAAAATCTTACTGAAATCACGTCATGCAGCATGACGTAATTGGAAAACAACAAAGGAATTTCGAAACATAGAGAATGGATGCAGCAAGAGTTGGGAGTAAAGACATGGAGACGAATCTATTTTTCAAGTTCTAGTGATGTTGCTGCTCCAGAAAATCATTCATCTGTTGTACAAACATATGCATATTATGTAATCGAAGTCATGCCATAGGTGTTAAAGGCAGAAGAAATGATAAAGTAAACGAATTCAGAGTTATCAACTGAGAGGGTGCAGACATTCAAAGAAATTTAGGACAAGCGTCTGATGGAATAAAACTAAGCACCTCTAATCATATATGGCTTTAATCAATTATTTTCTTCTGATTGTGAAGTCTAGTTCTGCAAACAGGTGAAATAGAGACCGATAACACTAAACGATGAAGCTCTATGTTCAACCTTATCGTGAGCATGCTTCTACGAGCTGAACCAAATAGGTTAGTGAGAGCAGCCCAAAAAAGGTATTTCGAAAGAATTGAAAACATTTGCCGAGCTTCAATGACACTAAAGGTAAACATGTTTCTCTTAAGCCTTACTGGAACCAATACTATGCTAGTAATCCATGCAATACATGATTGCCATATACACTCTCATCGGTGAGTAAGTTGTATAACAAAAAAGAAATTAACATAAACGTCAACTAGTGAAATGGGTCAGAGGTCTGTCTAAGAAAAGCAGGACAAACAGTTTATCACAAGATTGACTCATAAAATTGGCTCTAATAAGTGAGAAACTGGACACTAAGTGGCAGACGAAACATAATGACCATATATGAGATTCAATGTTGTCAATAAGGTTGATAGACGACGAACGAACGAACTGTATAGCATGTCTATATGAGGGCAAGTCATTTCTCTCACTTTTTTCTCGTCAAACGACGTGTGAAGAGTCATCAAATGGTAATATGAGCTTACAACACATCAAAGTAGTCATCTAACAACCCCACGTTCGAAGCAAATGAGCTACACACCCAAATATGCAGAACATTCATTCACAGTGATAAAAGGCTTTTCTGAATCAGCATTCATGTTCATCACATTATGAATGATTGATGGTTGCTAGACCATATTTTAACAGAAAAACCAAGGAGGGTATTGGTATTTGGAATGTAGAAGAGCTTTCACTCCTATACAATCCAGCTTTATGCTGCATCACAAAGAAGGCGTTGAATCATTGCCAAGGTTCATAACGATATGCAACAGAAACCTAACGATTCGGTAAGGAAACTTGAATATTCAATGTATAGTTTAAAAAAAATGTTTTTGTTTGCATTAGAGAAACAAAAAACTTCATTTTATAGCCTTTTATGAAGATATTTGAGCATGTGTGTGCCATCGTTAAGAATGTCTCAGGTGAGAATTTAGCCAACACACATTTCTTCTCCCTTTTAAGGCAAATATTTACAATTCACAAAAATTATTTTAAACATATCTCACTTTATAAAGTTTATGTGAAATAGAAGGAGGTGAGAAGAAGAAGGAGAAGAAGAAGAAGAAGAAGAGGCAAAGGTCTCATCAACATAAGATAATTCAAATTTAATCATCTTAACACGGATCTCATTGGCATACGATTTGTGCGCCAAATCAGAAACATTCAAAATGACTAACAATCATTTCATGCTCTACAGACGTGCAGATCGGTTGTTCCTACGTACAGTGTTATCAAACGTTTGTACTATGTTTTGTTATATATATAATTCTAACATTTAGTTATAAAACATGAAAATTAGAAGTTAGGAAAGAACAAGACTGTTTCAAATATGAATAAGCAAGCCGTGCACTCATTGTTTCTAAACATTGCTCAGACGAAGACATGCAACTGATTCTCTTTTTCTCTCTTCTCATGCCAAAGAGTTCTCAGCTAGTTACAATGAAAGTTTTTTTCGTCTTCTTGTGGTCTTTGTATTGTGCGAGATAAAAGACAATGACACAGTAACTGTTAGTATGAGGAAGAGAGAGGATGGAATGAAGAAGAAAAAAATTGACTGAGAGAAAGATGAAATGCTGAAACTTGCTCGGAAGAACTCATGTTTCTCAAAGACTTTTTCAAACAAACAATACAAGAGGTTACAACACGCATAGCACTGACTGTGTGTTTTATTCACAAAAAATCATTGACTGTCGGTACACTTGTGGAAAAACAACAAAAAAAAAGTACTTTGCACCTAATCCCTTCCGAATAGGAAGTTAATGGATGAGACATTCTAAGCATGGGAGCGATGCGACATAATGGCTCCATTGTTGATATGCTCATTTCATGATTTCGATTTATAATGAACTAAGTGATAAGAACAGCAACATCAGGATCTTCAGCACCCGCCCGCCTGCCTGTCTTCCTCCCTGCCCATCAATTGAATGCGTTTTATGTTTAATAAGATTGTAACTTGACTACTGATTAAATATCACTTTTATGTCTTCTGTTTACATTGAAATACGGAAATATTTGAATAATTCACATGAGACCAACAGAGAAACAAGTTTAACAGAGTGGTGGTTCAACGAAGTTTATGTCTCTCCTCTGTAGATATCTTTCGCGGTAAGCCTCTATCTCTTCTGGACCATTCCGTTGACTGACGATTTCCTTCAGCCGAACAAGACGTTTGGCTCGCAGTTCTTCAGGTTTCATTCGTATGAGCTGAAAATTAATTAACTAGATCGAAGTTACTTTAGTAAACTCCTACTTTAAGTCTCTGTTTCTTCTCCTCCTCGTCTGCCTTCTTCTTCTCTTCTTCTTTCCTCTTCTCCTCTTCTCTTTCCTTCCTGCGTTCTTTTTCTTTCTTTGAGCTATCTTCATCGTCAGATGATGGTGGTGTTGGAGTGAACTGCCTCTCTAACTTTTCGACATGTGTTAGAGCCTTCTTTACTACCTGTAAAACGGCCTCATGAACAAAAGCTTGATGATAACACCTTCACTCACCCTATTGAGTCCAGGTTTCAATTCTCCCTCGAAGTTACGATGGGGATTAAGAGGAGGAGGTTTGAATTCAGGACCATTATCATCATCATCGTAGATCGACTTCTTTGGTTCTTGCTTGACAGGTTTATCATCATCTTCATCATCATCATATATGGACTTCTTCTTGGTACTCTCTTCTGCTGGTTCTAATTTGGGCGATGGAGATCGATCCTCATTTCTAGAAAGGAAACGTTTCGTACTTTCAGTGAAACAAACAAACCTTTTACGAATATTCTTAACTCCTTTCTTCTTGGCATCACTGAAGCTAGTCTGCTCTTCCGGCTCATCACTCTTTTTTGTTAATCCTGTTCTGGCTAAATCATTCAGCAGTGTTCTGCCGAACCCAGCTTGCCAAGCTTTCTGATGTTCGACTGAGGTCATCTCTGAATCAAGCGAAAGTGTTAAAAGTAGAAGATCATTTGCCTACTATTGAACATGGCTTCATATTGTTCCTCTTCACGATGCTTGACAACCAATTTCATTTGTTCTTTATAAGTGTTGGTAATGAAGACCTAATCAAGAGTTGTTAGAAGTTTTAGAGCATGTTTGCAACTCACTTCTTTATCTGCGAACTCATCTCCTTCCTTTTCTCTTTCTAATTGCTGCTGCCTTTCCTCTCTACTCTGTTTCTCTGCAAGTAGTCTCAGTTGCATGCGTATCATAATTCAAAGGCAAACCAAGATCTCTTCGAAGTTTGGATTTGATTAATTCACTGGCATATTTCGATTCTCTGTTTTCATCTTTCTTCTTTTGTTCTGATATCTAATGAGGAGTTGCATCTCAAATACTTGTCTAATAACAATACCTTCTCATTTTTAATTGCTTGGATTTCGTCATAACTAGCATCATAGTCGAAAACAGTTGGATCCTCTGCTAACGCCCGTTCATGGTGCATCTGAGCTTGCCTATGCATGCGTATTGTGGATGCTGACGTTTTCGAATAAGAGACATCAACCTAGGCAGGAAGAAAAGTAATGAAATGCAAATAAGTATACAGGAACAAACAAGCGACTACATAGCTCGGCAAATTGAAATCGCTTTGGAACATGCATAAATCTTATAAAATAAGCTCAACCATACTTTGTCGTCACACTCATCCTCTTCATCGAAAACAGCAGCAGCTTTCCTGATCAGAGGCTTGTCCTCCTTCTTGGCTTTCACAACGAGACCATACTGTCTGAAACTGAAGATAGAAAGAAAGTAATGATAAAGGAATCAAACTTCTTTTTGAGATCCTCCGCCATGAGGTATGGATGTGTGGAGCTAAATGAATATGTATATAGGATACTGATGGCATACAAGATAAATACATTGGATGTCTAACCTTCGGAACACAGAACAGTCAAAGTCATTTAGAAAGATATTTATTTTGAAATTATTAATGATTCACCTTTTTACGAAAAGTCCATAAATTAAATATATACTTGACAAGAGAAGCAAAAAGATGGCAATTAAATAAAAATTGATTTTAGAAGCTCGTTCTATAAATAGTGTATCTTAACATCACCAAAAATGCTTTGTTATTAAATTATTCTAAGAAAGATCACAGCTTTCCATGTGTATGTGTATGTTTGTGCGTGTGCAGTGATTACTTGCCCCGATTTCAAACAGTCAGACTATTCTAATCCCAAAAAATTTGTGAGGTATTGAACCCCGGTAACGATCAAGGGTTGCCAGCAAACCAAATATCGTATCCAATCCAATAATTGACCGTAAAACAGATGGGGTTTCTCCCAACTGCAAACAAAACCAAAATTAAATTAAGAAAGACAATTGCATTGACTTACGGATTCTTAAACATTCGCTTTAAATCAACTTTTTCTTTACAATATGGACATGTCTGTTGTTTTCCCACTACTACCCAACCACGAATACAGAACTCATGGAACGTATGACCACATGACAATCTTCAATAACATAGTTGTATAAGTTTATATTGAGTGAAGCTTACTTATGCGTCTTCTCATCATCTTCGTCTGGGTCCTGTTGATGAATCAAAGCTGTATCGCATACGGCACAGACACCAGGTTCAAGATGTTTCTTAGGTAAACCTTCATGAGTGAAATACTGCAATGATCAAAATGATCAACACAAGCTAAGCGGTTCAAACCCCAATTTTACAAGCCATTCTGTCTGTGCATATGTGAGCCAAATCTCTCCCCAACACACCATAGTACAAGCCATAGAACAAGAGAAGAATGCCTTGAGAAATGAGAAACAGGTGAAGATTTGAAAAATGAGTTCATAATACCAGTATCCATACATCCATTAGTACTCAAGTTGAAAACCAACGCGAAACCTAACAAAGTGAACATCATAACGAAGTAGCCGACGATTCCGAGCACATAACTGAGTTTATGTAAAAACAAAAACCATTTGTATACTAATCTGCAATGTGATGAACATAAAATTACTTTCTTAAGAAAACTGGCAAACCTTGGTGTCGTTCCCGCTACATGATCGGCTGAAGCCTTGAACCAAACTAGGGCAGAGATGATCGTGAATATTACCCAAGTCGCAATGAATCTGTACCATTCTCTACTCACACATACATAAATAGGTATAAGCCACATTCCCAGTAAAGTGCATAACTTCAACAAAATCAATTATAACATAGAACGGTTTGGACTTGCCTGATATGATTTGAAGTGACGTTTCTTCCACTGTACAAGAAAAATCTGACCAACTATCAAAGTTGTGACTAAAATTAAAAACATTTCGAAGTGCATGGCTTCATGTCCACGATGTTTTTCATGAAGTTTGGCATGCTCAAGTTGCCATTCATCCTGCTCCGATAGCACAATCTTCACCTTAACCGATTGTTAAGCTTAGCTAGAGAGATAAAAAAACTTACATCGGAAGGAATTTCATTTTGTAAATGAATTCCCCCTAACTCCACCTGATGTCCACCTACGTGCTCTACCATCTAACTACCTAAAAGAGTCATTTCAACATCATTTATTAATCGAAGTACAATCAAAAGCAACAAGACGACGAATTTCAATAACGAATTTCTAGTCGACGCGCTGGCTGTGTTTCAGTCGTAATTACGTATTCATTTTGCTACGTCGCACTATGAAGTAATAGTCGTTTGGGTGGCTCGATACTCATGTGATTTACTTTATTGTTATCAAAAAGTTTTATTTATTCGTTAAAAAAGGAAAAAGAAGCTTATTCTCACTCTAAAAGCTTAACATTCAATGTTGATTATCTGTTTTTTGCAGCGTGTAAATTAAATGTCGGCGACAACTGAAAGTCAAGGATCGAGTGGAGGGGGAAGCCCAGGTGGAGAGCAACCTTCCAGCTCCAACCCCAAAGAAGATGAATCAGCCAGGTATATTTATTAAAACAAATTTTTCATGCTTACCTCACAAATTACTTGAACTAAATGTTTTCAACGAGCACTAGGCTCTCCTATTTCGATCGATATGTATGAGTTCCGTCTATACATAGGCTTCATTGAGTGCTTATTAGAAACATAGTTTCAATTTTCAGATACGAATGTAACATTTGTTTGGACACAGCTAAAGATGCTGTAGTTTCTATGTGTGGTCACTTGTTTTGTTGGCCCTGTTTGGTTAAATGGTTTGATACTCGTCCACAAAGACAGTCCTGCCCTGTATGCAAATCAGCTATAAGTAGAGACAAGGTACAACGAGTCTTCGTTTGTTGAGCATGACTTTTGTCTCTCACAGGTTATCCCTATATATGGTCGTGGCGGAGACAATACTGATCCTCGAGAAAAGGTTCCCCCTCGTCCTCGAGGCCAAAGAACAGAGGCTCCCCAGGTAGACAATTTCAGAAATAGAATTGTGTGTTGTGCCTTGCTGATTATATTTAATAGTTTTTTCGAACAAATATTTTCTTTAGTCCGGTTTTCCTGGCTTCAGTTTTGGAGGTGACTCGCAAGGTACGGGTGGAGTTCAATTCTCGATGGGAATCGGTTAGTAGTAGCAACAAGTTGAAATCGAAAATTCCGCTTCTACAGGTGTTTTTCCAATCTCATTTTTTATGGGATCTTTTTGGCGTAATAACACAGATGAGAGAGCTCAGCCAGGTAGTCGGCAGCATGTGGAAGAAGATTTTCTTAATAATATTTGGCTTTTCCTTGCGGTAGCCATAATTGGCTGGCTCTTGTTCATTTGAACTCCTTAATTAACAGCTTCCTAAGAGATTTTTAAGATTCAACTAGACATTGTACATTTGTTGTATTTTCTTCCTCCAATTCGAAAGATTGATAATATCATTCCATGTGATCGCGAAAAATTTTAATCTTTAATACTTAGTCTCTTTGAATAATACAATTTATGAATGAAGGAAAGAGATACCAAAGGACGTGATCAACAAACTTCCAGATAAAACCCTTTTAACCAATCCCTATCACAGAGCTCCCGGAAAATTCTGGTAATTCAAGCTCAAGTCCTCATTGCGAAATACACAATTATGGCAATGATGGCGACTATGACGGCAAGAACAATAAAGAAAGGCCCAGCGGAAATATCGTCTTCCGACACTTTGTAAGAAACCACCGGGGATCCGTCTAAAGGACTTTTCACAGATGCCATTTCTTCAGGTAACAAAGCCCTCTCCCACCCGTCATCTACATGCTCTGCAAAGTGTCATTCAGAAAGAGTTTACTGCTTTCATTGCCATACCTATATTTGTTTTCAGCTCCAATAGCTCTTCGAAATTCTTTTGAGCATCCTCGACGGTATCAGCTTCAAACAGATAATCAGATATAAGCACGGAACCCTGTATTATAGAGGTTTCTTAGCTACTTCAGTTCACAACACTTACATTACAAGGAAGTAAAGTAGTTGCGGGACGAGGTAACTGATGAACTGAGCATTCTTGGTTATTCGAAGACTCCTCCACTACCTCCATAGATTCGAATTGTAGTTCTAGAACGAGAAGGACGTCGTAGCATAGCATGAAGGTTTATACCAGCTCTTGACATGAGGGAACGAATTAAATGGTGTTTAGCTGCCGTTTTGACTGCTTCGACATTAGAGCGAAGAGGAATAGCTCCCCGAATCTAAATAAGATATCCACATCAATAATTAATTAGCATAATGATATGCTCATTCTAGGAAACTCACTTCAATATCGAATGTAATTTCGAGAAGATTAGTAGCCTTTTCGGCTTCACAAGCATTTTTCTTGTCATCTAATTTCAAATAGAACAATTATAAATTTGGGAGAAGGACACTTACAACATGGATCAATGAAGAGTTGGACTTCTACGGCGGAACTTTTTTTCTTTTTTAAGTCTTTGAATAGAGGCTCGGTTCCCTCTCTCAAAGCTCCGTCAACCAGAATCTGAAAGTTATAATCCCCGAATTTACAATGCGTATGATCCTCCTTTACCGTATCGCAACTCAATAGGTTTTCCGCGAATGGACGAACGGCGGCAGCAAATTCATTGTAGAAGTGATAGTGTTTTCCTTTCATTGGTATATTCAAGTTCACACGTGCTGAGGCATTTGTTACGACAGAAATCCATTCTAACTGAAAGGAAAACTATTCGATACGTCTATGCGAACTAAACTTACAGCGGAGAAAGAAATTTTGGTGGGACTTTCTGGGTTGCGTTTGATAACATCGACAACTATAGCCTGAGCTTTGGCGAAAGGTGTTTCGACATGCACCAACCCCTTAAATAGAATTTAAAATATGTAACGAGAACCTCAAGACTTGCCATATAATCATGAACATTTCCCAGATTAAGCATTGTGAGAGAATTGTTTGTTCTCTGAATTCTAGCAATTGCTCGTATGATCATTGGCTTTTTGTCAGCAAAAACATTCCTATTCGAAAACCATGCTATACCTAAAGGAAGAGTAGTTCACCTTAAGATCATGTGAAGTCAGGTAGTTTACCTACGATATTCACCCCTCCAGGCAGTATTCTCGTGATTTTCTCGGCGCAATCACTGAGCCAAACATCGTCGAAAGATTTGCTGAGACTATCACCTTCCTTCAAAACACATTTTTACATGAATGAATGTAACACTAATGATTAGGAGAGATGTGTATGTGTGTATATGAATAGGAGCTATCGAGTATACGGCTACTTCCAATGAAACGATGTTGTTGGGTGAAGTGCAAACACAACACAACAGCATTCAAATGCTTAAGCTCACCTTATCATCTTCACAAATTAATAGCTTTTCTCTTAATATTTTTCTTTTACTTCGTTTAGAACTTACAGAATCTTTAGCTGATTCCGGTAATGGACATTTGGCGGGATAAGCTACATGAATATCTCCATCAGAACAGAATGATCCAATCAGAAAGTATACAGATGTAAGAATTCCTTTCTCCTTCTCCTGCTGACAATGGATCTTTGTGGTCTTATCAAACCAATTTTCCAGGGAATTTGGGAAAACGATCATTTCTGAAGGAACGTCTAGCGCCAACATTTTCAGTATGAGAATAGAGTGGAAGAAGGTAGTAAGAAAGGTAGTTGATTATAATAACATAGCCAAAAGCTATTTTCGTTGCCATGGCAAGAACTGCCAGATGATAAAGACAAATGAGCGCGATGGAAATACAAATAAGCTGAGATTAAATCATTCATTTCATAATCGTAAACATAGCTTCGGGTTTTCAGTAAATAATTTCGATTTTTTTTCATTAGCGGCATCGTGTTCTAGTAAAAGGAACTATTCAATCGCATAAATGGTGCTTTAAAAAATATGTAATTCGCATTCTCGTTTGTAATAAGAATGATGGGATGCGAGAATGTATGTTATCATAAGCGATTCCTTGGACAAAAATAAAAAAACAATGACATAACGCGCTCCAATGCCAATTTGCAATAAGAACGCGGTTACATTTGAAGCTTCTCTTATTTTAATCGTTGTGCTTCTGAGAGCCGGTCGGTCATACGGCAGATTTCGTCATTCTGAATGTTTTGTCCGGTTAGTTCAAATTTTAAATTTATTTTTTTCTTATTATTTCTCTTTCTCAACACTTGCATGCGGTTTTAAAAAGTTTCAAAGTATGCATGAAAAGCGGAACGTTTTCTAATTCTCTGCAGCTTTTCACATTTCAAATGTCTTTACAAGTTTCAATGGCAACTTGATTAATTAGCGAATACTTAATTATTCATGTTCATCTCTACTAATTAGGGGTGTCGCGTATTCAAATTTCTTATGCTGCAATCTCATTCAGATTTGTCCTCTTAACATCTATTTATTGTATATTCAACAGCCAATGTATATACTTTATCTTTCGATTGCGATACTTATCAATTATTGTATAATCATAAGTTGTATCTTTCTATACAGTTTGGCTTCTGATAGTGAACGTAGAGTTTGCCAGTGACCCGTTGATGAGCAGCGTTGACAACATTGGATTAGCTTCGCCCTCTCGATATTCGCTCTACGCATCCTCTCTATTCTCGTTTGTCTGTCCTCTTCTAACGGTTTTGATCAATAGCCAAGGCCATCAGCACTACGCAGGCTCGAGAATGACCGCGACACGATATTGCGTTATGCAGCGGTATAACGCCAAACTTCCTTCCTCTCACATAATTGGAATCTATGCTCTTTTGAAGTTTTATAATGAGTTCTTCTTCTCATCGCCCTTCATCACACACTAAATTCCAAAGTCTTGTTTGCTATTTTTACGTGAATGTTCAATTAATAATATTATTATTCTCATTTGCTGGCTTCAAGTCCTCAAATCAAAAGTCAAGGTTATGATGAACTGTATCATAAGATGTTTCTCACTCGTTTTCAAATTCATATCATCTCGAACAGTTTAGCAAGCTTTTGTTTATTAATTTCTGGACCGTTTCTTCAATATTGATTGACTTGTAATTGATCATTTATTTAAAGATAAAGGTCATGCATGCAAAGGAATGCGCGAATACTTCGCGAACAGATAAATGCATTTTTTTGTAACTTCTGTGTCCTACTTTCCAAATGAAATTTTGAAGAGCCTTAAGTGAGCTTCACTTTTTGAAACAAGATTCACTTGTCTTAAATTTTCTCTCTCTCTCTCTCAACTAATCTGCTTCCCTTCAGTATCTATTTCATGCGCGCAATCTTCTCATATTAATGAAGGCTAGAATAACTCTTAGCTCATGAAATGAAACTAGAGTTATATTTTCTAGTATTCATTATATGTCGAGCTTGGTTTTTCAATCTCATTAAAACATTCTTTTTGTCGTGTATTAATCATATTTGAGTCCTGATTCTGCGATTCTTATTCGTATATGAATTGGATCTTTGTCGAATGTCTGAATTTTAAAACAAAAATAGCTCTCTCCAATTCAGTGTAATTCCGTTTTATTACTATAATGGTTTTGAACATTGTTTCGAGGCGTTCCCAGCTTTTATTTTGATGATTAATCCTACCATGCTGCTTATTAGTTCAATATGCCTAACGTTCAGACGATAAATGTTTTCAAAGTACCACCTTTCTTTCTGCCGCGCTCTTGCTTGCTACGTATTGCTGTCTTCTTGTTCTTCTTTCTTCCACAGCTAATGTGCAAGCTATTAGCCCTAATGGATGAAGCAGATAAACGTAGCATTTGTATGGCGACGTTCGGTCGATAGAGCTATGTTTTTTTTGTATCGTGACCTTTCTGTCCTACTTATTTAACGAACGCTCGCGTAGCTGTGGCACGATGCCAATCTCTTTGGCTTACTGCCAAGATATCGCTTGTAGATTTTGACCTGGTAACATTGCTTATTCTGATTTTCACATGTATCTATATTTTATTCAGTTTATGTTAGGAAAGAAATATCATTTCGTTCTTCGATCGCACATATCCAAAAAAAGTATGTTCGGGTCGATTTTAAACTGCAAAGTGTGTTCTGTGTTACTCATGACTTATGTCGATTCAGATATTTATACTATTTGATCCGTGTGCTGTCGTCTTGAAAAAAAAGTTTCAATATGTCTGTGTAGAGATTCCTATACTCGAAACCTCTCTCATAAATGAGGGAAGGTCTAATTTGGTCATTAGCTGCTTATGCTTAGGATCGCAACGTCCTTTCAACAATCGGTTCCCGCACGTTTGTCCTCCTGCTGCATTCTTTCTTCGTCAACTAGAAGCATACTAAGCTATTGATTTGCGAAAGAAATTACAAGTGTTGTGTGAGGAAGAGTGAATGAGGGACATGAAAAAAAGATAGATGTGAATGATGAGGATAATGTCGGAGAAAGATTGAAGATAATGGCATTCTATCAACTTTACAATCTTTTACCTTTAATAATAGTTTCAATTTACTCTATTGATACATTTCATTCTTTTTCCGAATTCTTTTTCTTACTGGTTTTCTCATGGTTTTTTTTGGCGTAGCTGTGATGGTCCTTCAATTGCAATGGCAGCAATGGAGGAGCTGAGTGTACGTCTTGCTGCGCCCACTCAGGGACACATTCTCATCTCGCCTCTTGTTCCTCCCTTCTGTTCTGTTATTCTACGTCTCTTGCACTGCTGCGTTTCCTACTGTTCATCTCAACATACTTCTCCCTCATCTTCTATCTGTGATCAACGCTACGGCTGGACACTGGCCGCCTGGTTTCACTGTGTAAGAGTGTTGGTTGCCTCGGCGATGACAGCGATCAATAAGAACCCATATGCGTATGTATAAGAGAGCGAGAGTGAGAGACACAGGGGAAGCGAAAGAGAGGAGTGGGTGAGTGTTCGCCGCCTCTGCTGCTGCTGCTGCTGCTGCTGCTGCTGCTTGGTCTGGGCAGGGCTGGCTGCTTAGCTTGGCTTTGCTTCGTTTGGTTCGATCTATGCTATATAGATTCTTTACGATAATTTGTCACTTATTACCTCCACAACTATTTGTTTCGATACTCATTCAATCGATCGCGAGTAATATCATATCATTGTGTTTTCTGTTCGATTGAATACCATAAAATACATGAATTTGCCCATTGACGTCTAGCTTACCTTTCAATGTATTCCGCGCTTCTTTTGTTGTCCATAAGCAGATTCACTTTCTTTCCTTTCATTCTAAAATACAGTTTTTGGTGAGTTTTAAACAACTTTGATGTTCCCGAGTAAGCTTATGTCAAATGATATGTTTCTATAGTTTTTATCAGACGCGAACGTCGCTCTCGGCTTTGCATCTATATGCAAGCAAAACATTTGTTGTAAATTCTGTACTTCTCTTCATTCCATGTCGTTTCTCATTGCAAAGTTGCGCAAGCCTGATTAGGCTTGATTTCCTCAATTGAGCAAGCCATAGAAGCTCTCCTCTCAAACGAAAACTTTCATCCTGCCATTTTTTTTTGTTTCCTCTCACTCCGCGCGAAAACTACTCTGGCTTATGATTCACAACGCTTTATTTTAAAGTTAAATGAATGTTTATTGACTTATGAATAAACAAATTTCGGAAACTACTTTACCTATTATCGGCTTCTGCCTGCATTCTGTTTACAAACGTACTTTCTGAGACCACCAAAGTTTAAATTGTGCCGCTAAAATTCAAATTAATTATCTCTCGATGTTTCTTCGAAGCATGTCATGCGCTTTAATAGAGACTAAGAATTATTCTATGAGCTTGTCTGAAGACGATGAGATGTGAATGTAAAACGGGTAAAGCCTCCTCAAAGTTTCCAACCTCATTACAAAAAAAAAGCAGCGTCATCATCTCATCTGTTGTTACATTCACTATACTTCCGTTTATGTTTCTCGTTCAATCGTTATTTCGTGAATACTTCCGCGTTTCCTTTATATTTTTGTTTCAGTCAACGTGGAATTAGTCAAAAAGTAGTCAGCATCCCAAGCGTCTTCCTTTATTTTTTTCGCATAGTTCTATTTGTGAAGTAGCAATTGTGCCCTGCAAACCTGGGTATGGATTACTATCAACAAGGCCGAGCGCAAGCTTCTAATCAATCTAATGCGCATTTCATATATTCCAACGCTCCTGTAAGTTGTGTCTCATGGGAAAATGTACTTACTCATTGTTTATAGGCAACAGGAACTTCACAAACAGCCCAGATGTACTATCAGCCTCAGGCAATGACTCACCAACCTCTGCAATCGAGTTATCAACAACACTATCAAACTCCTGGCTCTGCCAATGCTTCTATAGATTACAGTTAGTTTTGATTTGCCTCTTTATTAACCAAATACGAAAGCTCAAATTCTTGATCTCACCTCATTCATTGGTATATCATTTTCGCTTAATATATATTGTTCAAATTATATTGTTTGTGCATCTGTTCCTCCGGAAGAATCCATGTAATCGCCACGACCAAGCTCTTTCATCCTTTCACGCTTGCCATTATAAGCTCATTATCATTTATCCTATAGCTTACATGCTTTCGTTCATTCGCTCAATTTAAGGTTCTCAACACAATCATCAGCCATCCGCCATGACTGTCCCTGCTACCAACAACCGCGGCGGCAGTACTCGTGGTACTGGAAACCGCTCTGGGAATGGTCCAGTAGATGCTACTCAAATTACAGGAAGATATATTAATACTGTCCCCTCAAACGTATGTACTTTACTCTTTTGCTCATTAATCAACTTGGTTCTTTGTAGGATTTGCCTCTTCGTATAGTTATTGATTCCAAGCATGTCGGAGCTATAATCGGTACTGCAGGTACTAATATTCGTGAACTCTCCAAGGAATCAAAAGCACGTGTTGTTGTCGATGCTTTTAAAACTGTCAAGGATCAACAAGGGAATGCGGAAAAGGTTTGATGTGCTTCACAGAGCCAGATAACATGTACTCTTAGGTCATCTCTATTATTGGACCTGGAGAGAACTCTAGCAAAGCTTGTGTTAAAATTATGGAAATAGTGCAACACGAATTAGAGAAAGATGAAAGCAATGAGTGAGATCAAAACAACAAACAACCAACTCAAACTTGTTCTTGTTCAGAATTCGCGATGTCGAGCTTAAAATTCGAGCTTATAATCAGTTAGTTGGACGGCTTATTGGTAAACAAGGAGCTACTATCAAAAAGATCATGCAGGAAACTGGAACTACTATTTATGTCTCTAAGTAAGTTGATATCAGTTCTACGAGAGTTGACCTTTCATTCTAGTGAGCACACACCTAGACCAAATCAAAACTTTGGAAACCGTCCTCCTTTCCCAGACCTTATGCAAATGGAACGCACTATCACAGTCAAAGGTCCAACCATTGAGAGTGTATGTCATTATTACACATATGAACATAATTTATGACCAATGTTTTAAGGTGTCTTCCGCTGAACACAAAATTACCTCAAAACTACGTCAAAGTCATGAAGCTGATCTTCAAAACAGAGTGAGTATTAAGTAAGAAAACTTGGCTTATAAATTGCGTGTTCTAGATGCCTTTCAATAATGTCCCTGGAGCTGTTCCCGGCCTCTTGCTTGGCCCAGACCCGTTTAATGCCAGATTTTCTAAACCATTGTTCCAATCTACCCACGTTCGTTACACTTTTTGAAATAGAGAGCTTATTATTTCTTTGTAGGTAGCTAAAGTAGTCAAGATGTGGGTTCCTAATCCCATGGTGGGAGCTATCATCGGAGCTAAGGGAACTAATATCCGTAGCATCATGAGAGGATCAGGAGCTAATATCCGTATAGAAGGCGGAGAAAAGCGCGAAAAGGAAAAGGAGGATGAAGTTAAAGAAGAAGTTGAAAACAGTAGCCCTAGTCAAGAAGATAAAGATAAAGATAATGACAAAAAACAAGGAGCTGAGAAAAAGCCAGAGGAGGAGCGTCTTGTTACTATCACAGGCTCAGACGATCAGCAGTATCGAGCTCAGTTTTACATTTTCCAACGTGTAGCTGAGCAAACAAATCATTTCATAGATGATGTGAGTCGTGTATTTTTAAAGCATATCTATATACATAAATTGAAGGTTGCTCTTCGTATGGAATTGAGTGTCCCATCCCGTTTAGTAGGAAGACTTATTGGTAAAGGAGGACAGAATGTCCGCGAGCTCCAACGCATAACTGGTGCCAATGTCAAAATCCCAGAGGATGAGGTCAAAGAGAAAGAGAAAGAAGAGAACACCCAAACAAGTGAAGAAGAAGGTAAGATCTAGACTTTGTGAAAGCTAACTATTGCTCAATTTCCCAGGCAAAGAGGAAGTCGGAACAGTTGTTCGAATTGTTGGAAACTTCAATGCTACACAATCCGTCCAATACCGCATTTTGAAGCTTATAAACGAGTTTAACCATACATCTATTAACGACAAAAATAATGCCAAGAAGACTAGTAACTCAGAAGAGTCTAACACAGGTTGGATATGATCGCGTACTGAAGCCCTTATATGAATGCATTGCAGAACAAAAGCAGAACACTACCACCAACAGTGGAAATGGTTCAACCTCGGATTAATTCAATATGCGTGTATTCGAATGCCATAGTAATGCCGTTCGTCTAACTCCCTATTGTTTTTGATAATTTGATGTGCTATATCTTCCCTAGCACTAGTATAGAGGAGATATATTAAATAATACAGTTGCTGGCCACACTGTAGTAACTGAGATATCCAGAGTTGCGGGTAGTTGCCCATTCATATTTTACGTCTCCCCCCTCTGTCATCTCCGTTCTTTATTTATTGATTTCTATGAGTGATTGTGTACATTTTTAGGCCTTTATAAGAGGTTATCAATCAAGTCATTTTCGAGATTCAGATGTTTTAAGCTCGATCATGACTGATCAGATGATACCTTGCAGGAGATTGGGTTCTTAGTCTTGTTGAAATGGTTATTAGATCATTCTTGTGCCACACAAACCCATCTCCTTAATTTATTCACATATTGTTTATACATTTGTATACTTGTTTGTTTTTTTTGTTCATCTGTTTTTGGTAATTTTGAGGCCATTTCGAAGAAGTTACACTTCTCACGATTTGCTTCTTCTTTACGGGTCCGGTACTATAGCCAACAGAAGATGACGGAAATGCCGGAGTTTAGCTAAGTCATTATGATCAGTGAGAAGCTTCAGCATTTCACTAGTCAATATAGACTTCATAGCGTTTCTGTATTCCGTTCGTGCGCAGTAGCCTAACTAAACCCACCACGTAAAGCCAATGACTTCTGCTAATTCTTCTTGGCACGCTCTGAGTAAGGACTTTCGTGTCTACACTTGGTCCGTTCCCTCCCTTCCCATACTCTTGCTCATCCAATTCTGTCCCCATGATCCTGTCTACGTTTCTTGGAAGAAGTTTGACGAAAGTTTCAAGCTCCAAACAAAAATGATGTGTTTGTTTCACAACTTCACCCACAACATACACACACACATACAAAGACTCAAATATTCAAGACCCCTCTCTTCTCCCTACCCTCCCTCCTATTCCTAATATTGAAATATTAATAAGTACTTTTTTTTGCTAGATAATTCTGGTTTGATTTCTGAAATCATCAAACGTTTTGACCCAGCATGACACAGGATCGCTTTTTTTTCGTTTTTGGTTTTTTCTTTTTCTTTGGCGAAAGTGAGGCGCTTCGTCGTCTTAGGGTTAGTCGGTTTGGTAGTCAAAAACTTTAATAGATTTTTTGCTGATAATTAAGTATACCACTCTTCGAGACCCCTCCGCCCATATAATGATTATTCAGATTTTGTATGAACTATTTATCCCAAATTAGAAGTGAACATTATCGATCCTTTTACTACTACACCACTGCTATACTACCGCATGTTGTATGTTGCTGCCACGAATGAATATTTACTTTAATCGTTTTCGTTTTATTCTCAGAAGAAATGTTTTTTATTCGAACTTTCTTTGTATCTCCGCTGTCATCGCCAGATACCTCATCGAGACACACATGGTCAATATGATGAACCCTCTTATTCTCAGAGGGTTGACCACAGCACCAACGATGCCGTTTTTGTCGGTGAAGGTTTCGGCTGATTGAAAAAAACCTGAAGCAGACATATGGGACAAGGAAACAGCATAGAGGAAAAGAGGCTTGGGACGACAACAGCGGCTTAAACAACATGCACGGCGGAGAGAGCGATGGGAACAAAGGAAGGTCAGTTGGGGACAGAGACGCAGAGAAGCAATGTTCGCCTACCAGCCCGTACCAGGCCGGAGTGGCGCAGGCCGCATCGCGCCACGCCACGCATTGTTTCCCGTCTCCGGCGACGGAACATGACGGAATGCTGTTTTTTTGAAACTTGCTTTATCTGGTTCGATTTCTGCTCCATATGTTACCCTGAAGGCTTTTACAAGTCTCGATCTAAGCCTTTCCATTTTTTTCAGTAGAATCTATTTGTTTCGAAAGTCTCCTTGTCGCATAGCACGGTTTTGTGTGTCGACGTCGAATTCCGTTGACTGAACTTTTTTTATCGATTCAATCCTCAGATGTGTCTTCTTCTTCATTTTGAAATCCATTTTTTTACTCCATTCTTCATCTCCTTGTCGATTTGTCTGATTTTTTCTAATAATTCTTGTGCAACAACGAACGTCATCGTTGGTTATTTACTTGTTTACAACTTACTGCTCGGCTTGTGTCCGAGCGATCAATAGTAGCCTCCAGAGGTGAAATAGCAATTTCTCTCACATTTTTTACTTTCAACTTCTTTCGAAAAAAAGGTTCCGTGAAGTTTTTCACACAAGTTTCATCCTTAAGGTGGCATGCTGTGTAGTTAACCTGCTGAGAAAGATGAGGACTTTCTATTGCGACAAAGAATCATCATCCACTTCACACTCCGTATTTGGTTATGTTATCTGAAAGCCTTTGAAATTTTTGAGGATGCTTGGCTGCTATCAGCGATTGATAATAATCGTTCAGGTTTTGAAAGGGCTGTACTGGTGTGTGAAAGGCTTTAACTCTTTATGATTACCTCTGCTCTTGAGGTCTCTCTCTCTCTCTATCTCTCTCTTCTTGGCGAACAGAGAGTTGTGCGAAACGTATTATCGTGCCATTTGCATGTTCGGCAAATATATCTTTTTTCTGTTTTATTCCAATGTTTATGTATATGAACGTCAACAATCGAAATTAGACTGCTTATTTACACATGCCTTATTTGACCATTTAAAGTAATATAACTATGAAGTTGTTCGTTCTTTGTAATCATCCTCATGCTGCTGCTGCTTGCTGCTAGCTGCTAGCTCTACAGTTTTCCTTTTTTGTTTATCTTGGATCGTTCATTGATTGGATTCTTTGTTTTCTCATTGTCATCTATCAAAGTGCTTATTTTGCCGATTTCAGATCACACTAAATCTGATGACGTCATGAGGTCTTCAAAACCATTTTCCATGTATAACTCCGCTCTGGTGACGTGGATCACTTTGTTACTGTTTTTGTCAAGAACTTCTACAGCCACGTCATCTGATGACACTACAACTACTACTACTTCTACGACTACTAAACAGCAAGCCTGTGCACAGCTTGATGTTGTCTTGAATAACGGCGTTGAAAACGAAACGGTGATTCTTTCTTTCGTAATCGAGTTATCAATCCTTACAATTCATGTACGAGAAAAGTGTGAAAAACAAGTTTTACATGTCATGCTCTCTTGCTTATGTCATCCGATTTCAGAGTGCTTGTCATTGCTTCGAGGACCGTTTCTTTGCCAAAGTTGACGGAATAACGATTGGGTAAGTTTTTTTGGTGTCTTCGCAAAAATTGTTGGAAAGAAAACAACCGCTCCCTAGCGTCGCGCACAAAAAAATGATTGCACTTCTTCTCGCCGTAAACCAGCAGCAGTTTACGTCGGATATTATTTTTTCTTCATAATCTTTTTTCGTCTCAAAAAAATCGCGAATGTGTGTATGGATTTGGGAAAAAAAAGTGAAGTTTTTTCTCCAAAATCTTTCTGTTTGTGTTTCTTGTTTGTACAGCTGACAGAGAAATGATCGGCGATGAGGATGTTTCTATAATTCTTTTCTGAACTTTCACCTCGATTGCTTGAGTCGCAAGTCTCAAGGGTTTCGTCGCGGATTTTCATTTGTCTACATCAGATACATGCATATATGGAAATCATTATAGATGTACAAGCCGAACAGCTCTATCAATCGCAACTTCCTTAGCTTCACTCAATGATAGCGATGTTGGTCGTGTACATATTTGGGATAGTCAACTGGATACTTTATCTGAAGATGTCCTGAATCTGGTTAGTTGCAAGAAAGTGATAGGGTTGAATAAGGAAATACTTTAAGGTTAAGCCAACCAGTCTGATCATTGATCGTAGTCGGGTTTCAAGTGTGAGTCTCAATTCATTCTCGCGTTTGGCAGAGAGACTTAAAGAGCTGGTTATGAAAAAGAACATGATTGAAAGTTTGGATGAAAAGCTTTTACGTGGTTTGAAACAACTTCAGTTCCTTGATCTGACAGGTACGTGTTTGAATGTGATTACAAATTATCGGAAGCGAAAGTTTGCGCTTTCCCAGTCCTTAAATGGGCGAGGGGTGTTCATTTCTCAGATAATGATTTCTCGTTTTTCAATCCTTCCGAAGGCTTTTCTTCTGGGAGGGCTTTGTGCTATGAGAACTGAATAGAAAACATAAATATGCTATTATTTGTGTGAAATGGCATCATTGTAGGCAACAGGATCTCCATTATACGTAAGGGAACCTTCAAAGAGACTCCTAATTTGGAAGAACTTCTATTGGACCAGAACGAGATTTCTATAATCGAAGATGGGGCATTTGAAAATCTGAAAAACTTGAAAAAGCTCAGCTTAGCCACAAACATGCTGACCAAAATAACGAAGTGAGTCAACGCAGGAAATCACTTTAATATTCTTTTCAATCTACAGAGGCACATTCAAAGGCTTGGAGAACTTGGAAGTTTTGAATGTGAGGAACAACGCCATAGAATCGTTCGAATGGCCAGTTCTGAATTCGATGAAGAAGCTAATTACACTAGACGTTGGAACTAATCGACTTGTCAATGTATGTTGATAGAGTCTTTCTTCTCAGTATCATTCATTTGCAGGTTGATTTACAAAACTTGAGAAACTTGGAAAAGCTTTTCCTAAACAACAACACCATTCACAATTTGAAGAGCGTGAAGCTGAGGTTGGAAATTCGCATTAGCGTTGAAACAGAAATTGTTTTTAGAAATCTTACTTCGTTGGTTCTCGTTTCCCTTGACCGCAATATGATTAGCGAGATTGGTGAAGGTGATTTGTTAGGACTGGCAAAAAGTACTCGATTAGAAAGTATTACACTTGCTGCTAACAATATCAGCTCGGTAAGCAGTTTTACTTATTAGGGCTTGATTCATGATAATGTTGTTTACCTGATGTCTGCAATTTAGATATCACCAAAGGCCTTTGCTCCTATTCATGATGTTGGAATTCTTGCGATTCAAAATAATCAGCTTTCAAGCTTCACCAGTGGTAAGAATAGAATTGTCCGACGGCGAATTTCTATTTCCTTACAGAAAGTGACCAATCTTTCCTTCGACCTTTACGGAAACTCCAAACATTACTTGTATCAAGAAATCAATTAAAATCTATCAAAGAAAATGATTTACCTAAGTCATTGACCGTATTAGCAGCAGATCACAATCAAATAGAATCGGCAAGTTCTTATAGTTCGGAGGGTTTGACGAAGTTCATGAAATTCAGATTGACGCTAAAGCTTTCGAAGGAATCGCTATGCAGAGATTGTATATAAACAATAATCATTTACAAGCTTTACCCAGACATACTTTCGATTCGTTCACACGCGAGACTTTAGAAGCCATTGATGTGTCTGGTTCGTCTTGTCCGGCAACATATTCCTAACTTTGACTCACTAATTCCAGGAAATGCTTGGAAATGCGTTTGCGGAGAAGAATGGCTCGCTTGGTGGCTTGATAAATTCAGTGATAAGGATGTTGCTGACGGTGTTATTGGCTGTTTAGCTAAACCGCGATGTGATGTAGACTTGGACAGTTTGGAATCTGAAGAGAAATCTACATGGGTTACTGTGGTTGCTAGTATTCTTGCTGCCGTTTCTGTATTTATTCTAATTGCTATTGCATTCCTGTACATTAATGATGGACGACAGCGGGTTCGTTACGGTTTATTCGATAGAATCACTTGGCTACATAAAATTCTCACTCATAAAAAAAAAGAATAAAACTAACTGATAAGTAGCACACCCCACATTGATGACACACCAACTTCATCAGCTAAGTGCTTTATGTTTCAGGGTGGTGTTTTGCGCCCGTTATCCCGACGTGTTGATTCTGATCTACACACCTTATTAGGAGACTCATCATTCTTCAAAGAAGATGAAACAAGACGGATACCACCTCCTACATCTCCAGGTGCTACAGGTACATCCGCAGCAGGCAATACCGAGAAGAAACGTGTTCGATTTGAACAGTAATTGTCAATCCCTTTTCCTATCGTCAACTCCGGGTTCCTAACTTTACACCTCATTTATGCGCCTATTACTTCTCGTCATCACATTTACTAAATTTGATCCTACTGAGTAGCGATATCATAGTCGACAATATTGTTTGTACACATTCTGTTTCTTCCAACTCAGTCCATATCAGCACTTCTTCCGCTTCGTCTTCACCACTCAGTGTTTCCGAATCTGGAAAGAAGCTGATCTCATCTAGTTCTATGCTATGCTCACATAGGAAAGCAGATACAGAATCCGTTTTCAATGATCGATGAGAAGGTGCTTGCCGAATTTAGAGCTCACAAGAATTAGGAAGAAAACGATTGAGTAATAAAATCTCGTGAAGCCTTCAATGTTATTTTCCCAGATCTATGACAAATCTGGTCTCATGATGCTTAAAAACGGCGGTTTGCAATGCATTTTCACTTTTTCATATACTACCTCCTCCTACAGCTCTGAATAAGTTTGATGAAATCTCTCCCTTACCCTCTCTCTCTCTCCACATCCTCAGAAGTTCTCCTCTCCTCTCCTCTTCCTGTACACGGATAAACTAAACAGCATAGAAACGATTGAAAATCTCTCCTCCGCTATTGTCACAAACTAATTTAGGAAACGCAAAATAAGATTTTTACGAAACTTACTACGCGGTTTTATAGTTCCCAGTGAGTTTTCAAACAAGTACAAGTATCTCACTATATTTATGAACAAAAAATATTTAATAATTCGTCGAACAGAAGATTGAAATTAAACTTAACCAACCTCATGTTTCATATGTGTATGATATCTCGTTTTTTCTTTTTTTTTCTCTCCTCTTCCATCCTCCACCACCTCCTTCTGATCCTTTTTCGTTCAGAACGGTTTTGAATGGAATTTTTCATAAACTCCATATATATATATATATAAACACCAAAGATTCGTTATAAATGAAAGAATTTCCCCCTTTAAGTTCTGCAACCGGGTTCCTTCTGTCTCCCTTTTCTAAATATTTATAAATTCATTATATGATCTTAATATATTGAGTACCTTCGCTGCCAAACCTCTGTAGAAACCAATGTTCAAACACAAGCTTAGGCATTTCGTACCTTTTAAACTAGATTATCATGATACCTTCTGTTGTTTAATATTGTTGTGAATGAATATTTCCATGTTACTTTGCGTATTTACACAGATAATTATCACAACGACGTCTTAACACGTACACGTGTTACGCGCCTTAATGGGTTCAAAAAACAAGTTTCATTTTTTACGGCTGGCAGATGGGGAGCGGTTGTACCAAATGATTACGACAGGTCAGTGAATTTAATTTTCTTTCTTTCTTCTTCTTCTTTTTTTCACTCCTTTCCCCCTTCTGATAGTGTGTATGATGGCTATGCCTATGTGTGTATGTGTGTGTGGGGGTTGGTGTACATCTTCAATGCGCTCTGTATTACTCTATACTGCTTTACTTTATTTTGAAAAGTGTATTTGAAAATATGATTTTGGTGAAGAAAAAAAGGAGTTATAATCTAGAAAGAGCTCGGCTCAATCTATTGCTAGTTGTAATGATTAAATGCATAGAGAACAATTGCCAAAAGAAAATGATGGACTTGATGAATCTATGAATCTAATCATACTCAAGAATAGGAGAATCTTGAGCGTGTGTGATGCTCATAGCTTGAAGAACTGGAGAGTTTCGGTTGTACTGTCGAAGCAAATATAAATTCTCTGTTAAATAGTTAAACTGTTTTCGATCTTTCACGTTTGTGAATTTCCAGAAAACGATTTATCCTTTAGTTGTGGCTTGTGAAATCGGCTCGAGATAGCTCAGATTAAGTCTGAGCAAGATATGGTGTGCTACACAAGGAGAAACGTTTTCCAGACTCGAGACACAAATCGAAAGAGATCGATATGATGTTATAAAACAGTTATCTATTTACAGAATGAATGTTATTGCATAAATCTACACTTTTTTTATAAAAAATCAAATGAGTAGCGACAGTTGGAACGATCACTCCAACAACTCTCCAAGCAATGAGCTATACACAGACACTACTGGATACGTTTGGGAATAACTGCTTTTAAAGGTTTTTTTTTGTATTCAAAAGTAGACAGCTATGTTCAATTCACATTTTTGTTACAAAAAGAGAGAGAGAGATAGAGATGTCTAAAAGGTAATTGCTGCTTGTATAATAGAAATTGGGAGAAAAGAGATGAAGAATAAGGAAGACAGAGTGTATGATGGAAGACAGAAAAACGAGGTTCGTACAATATCATTTATTTTGAGTCTTCCGTTGTTAATATACGACTTTATAACTGCTTAATCAGAGTCTGGGAAGGGTCCGGCGAGAACCTTCTTGACGAAATCTGAAATGTAATTTCATAAGATGATGTGGATGAAAGCTTTTTACGATAGTTTGAAGAAAGAATTTATCCCGATAGATTCTCATATCGCTCACAAAGCATTGGCACTTCTCTCTTTGTTTTCTGTGTAATCGGTTGTCCCCGAAGAACAACTGTTGATATTGCTGAGCCGGCAAAGTCATACGACAGAATAGAGAGAGGGAGAGAGGGATATATATCAGGAGAATGTGTGCCTCATTTGAATGCTCTCTCTATATCTCTTTCTCTCCCTCACTTTCTCTCTTTTTTCTCTGCCATGCAGGCTTTTGATCTGGTTTCTTATATTCAAATTGGTATGAAGTGGAATAGAGAGTGAGGGAGGAATGGTATGGCGACGGAAAGTTACATCACTCTCATTCATTTATCAATCAATCAATACTCACCCTCGTATTTGACCATGCCCTCGGCGTCTTCAACTCCCTTGAGAAGCTCATCGACCTGTAACACATGATTAAGTTCTTTCTTGTCTTTTATTGTCATACCTCATCAGCAGAAAGTCTCTCTCCAAGAGCCATAAGGATATGTCTGAGCTCAGCGCAGAGGATCTTTCCGCACTCTTCTTTGTCGAAGACCTTAAGTCCCTCAACGAAGTCAGCGTACGTTCCCTGCTCCTGTAAATTGTATAGATTGCAAATGGTTTGATCCAGTTTAAGTAATCATTTGGTATTAGAATGAAACGTTGCTTGCAATTAATTTTGTTTTTTCTGCCACTTGGTTTTTCGAAATATTTTTTCAAAGCTTAATGATCTAGCTTTTGCCATAGATTTAGATCAACTGCTGTGTAGTCTTCTTGTTACATCGGCAGCTGAGTGTCTGAGCGCGGGCGGCTCTCTCAATATCTCTCAGCATACATCCTATTACCTTTACTCTCATTCTTTCTTTCTGCTCTCTCCAGTGTTTTTATAAGATTTCTCAAAATCTAATGTCGTTTTCTTCTCTTCATACTCTTTCAGCCAACATCAAAATGCTCTCTTTTCTCAAAATCCTCCCCGTATGACAGAACGGTTGCATTCTTATCACGTTTTGCTGTTTTTATTCAGCCGCCTCACTCACTGCACATTTTCATAAAAGAGATAAGATGAGCAAGAAGATGTTACTGCCATCACTAGTTACTTCATCATGAGATTGGAAGTGAATATGCTTCAGCTTCTGCTTTATATAGTTCGATGAGTTCGTCTATCTCACTCGAACTAAATGTCACATTCCAGATTTGAGACTCGAAGCACTTCATGAATGTTTGCCAAGGAGCAAAGCTCTGAGTGCGTTCATAAGTGTGATAAGCGGTGATTAGGAAAATTCGCTCGCGTAAAGATGATGAGCATAATAAGAAAACTAATTGCAAATCTAATTCAATACTGTTTCATAATGTCTCAAATCAAGAGGAAGTTTCAAAGATTTTGATATTAATCTATGAGCAGAATGAGATTGAGCTTACCTTTTCCTTAGAGAGTTGTTCGTAGATTGGGAGCCACTCTTCGAAGGTGATGCGCTTCTCTCCCTTGCGCTTGAACTCTTGTCCGGAAGCCTTAATGATAAAAGATAAGATGAGAGTCAAAAAAGGTTTTATTTTGTACCTTGGTTACCATGGCGTTGGTTGGCTTAAGTCCGGCAGCTCTGACAACATCTCCGATTTGGGTGCCGTCGATCTTACCGTCGAGTTCCTCATCGTAGAGGTTGAAAATTTCCTTAAGGTTATCTAAAATGGACAATATAAGATGAATATAGAATATGTCTGAGATTACAGTATCATACTGTATTTTGTCATAAAAATTGAGTGTTAGAGGATATGAAGCTTGGATACGAAAAGATGCTAGTTGAATAGTTTTATAATAATAACATAATTAAAGTAAGATAAGCTCACCTGGGGAAGGCATAGTTGATAACTCAAATGAAGTAGCAAAGAGGCAGCACACCCACAGCAAACGGAGGCAGTGTACACTGGATCCTGACGCCGCAGGGGAGGCGGATATTTTAAGGAGGAGCCAGACATCCCCTCAACTGATGTAAAGCTCTTAGATATACTGTTGTTTGAATAGATTTTGAGGAATAAGATGAAGATAGAATAGCATAATATGAGACGGTCTCTTCTTCACATCACACGAAATAGCGTTGCGAAATGTGTGGCAGGCATAAGCACATCGCCATCAAGCCACGAAGTATAGCGAAGCCGAATCTCTATCTCTATCGTTATCTCTCTGTCTTCATATCCTCAACATTGAATTGTAACGGCTTTCTAAGCTCTTTGCATCTCTTTTGTGTATTTTTTTATTTCTCTCTCTATCCCATCGTTGCTAGTAAATTCTTTCTTTCTTTCTTCTTCTTCTTGATATTTCTACACACTGCCGTACTGTATAATTGCAGTGTTTCGGAGTTGCTGACGATTCTCGCAACTTCTGCGATATTCGAACTTTGGGCTCTTATCATACAGCTTATCAGATATAGGCTTGAAGCTGGATAGAATAGATCAAATAGGTTCCATCATGAACATTCTCAACCTTGTCTTACTTCGTAATGAGTAGTTAGTCTTATAGAGGAGATTGAGATAGAGAGTGAGATGTACTGTAATCTTGGTAGACTCTCCCCTAGAATCTCCCCTCCCTCTCTCCCTCTCTCTCTTTTTATGGATAAGTTGTAGCTCGTAACAATAGTTCCTACTTCATATCTTATTTCCTCACAACAGTTCACCTATATCATTGTGTCTGGGCTCTCTGAGCAGAGCATTGACTGTGAGCGTTCACATCTGTCTTCCATTCTTCTTATAACTATTATATTTTAAGTGTAACAGGGAAAAGCTGTCTAAAACTAGAGAGAAAAGGATTGAAGGAAAAAAAAAGAAAGAAAATGGAGGGACATGAAGAACAGAACGAGTGAGTAGAGTTCTTTCCTTTGTCTTCTCAGTATATCCCTCATGAGCTCTTATCGGAAAGAGCAAAGTCATTGGCAAGATGGATAAATTTTTATAAAGAAGATCTGTATAATCTTTGTGCATCAACTGTTAACAGGGTTCTGCTATACTCGGCTGTTCACATTGAAAGGAAGTTTGGAGATGTTGTTTCCATGCTTCTTCTCCCTCCACTCCCCACCAACTGTATAACCAACTAGCGGTGTCTGAGATAGGCAGTTGTAACTCAAAATAACAACTGTTTAAGAAGAATTTCGAGAACGTGGCACAAGCAACATGAACAACAGTGTTATCATCTGCAACATAGCTGCTACGTAACTCATGAATCACATAATTAATGACATCTTTGGTCTCATACAAACTTGAGATGAGTTAATTGTTCCAAGAATTCATTTTCAACAAGCATGGTTATGACGTCAGATTTAGCCTATCCACCCGTTTCTCTCTTTCTCTCTCCCTGTCTATCTCTCTCTCTCTCTCTCTCTCAAAATGCCGGCGCTCATTCAAAATGTGCTAGTGAGGATAGAAAGTAAGCACACGGTGAAGAAAAGACAGCAGGCTGTGGCAAAGTCAACACAAGCTTACGAGCGGAGGAGGGATATTCTAGTGCTCTTGGATCTGGATCCCGGAATACTCTACACACAAGATGGTGGTGCTATAGGGAGAAGTGTAAATAGTTTTGAGCTTTCGAAAGACTTTTGAAGATGGACCTTTTACGCATACGCATCTTCAATTATGGTATTATGATAGAGAGTCAGAAAAACTGATCTGAACAAGTTATAGAAAGAGCTCTAGTCAATTGAAAAGTCGGTAAAGAATTCTCATAAAGCCACAAAGCCTTCACAGTACGATCCTCCTACGCAAACTGTAGTCTGTGCGAATGATCTTTGATGGAAAATATTTTTCTTTCTCCACTATTATCCATGAACTTTCATATAAAAGTCTTCTAGAGCTGCTTGATGTTTCGTACTTCCGTACATCGGTGGCGAATTCATTTTCTCTTTTTCTTCCAACAGAATGATGTACGGAACATATAAGTACCATTCCAGGAAATTTCCTTTTTCACTTGTTAGGTACAGTGTATTGTTTCAATATTTCAATCTTATACCTTAAGCACAGTTATCTCACTTATCAATTAGCTCCTA